AGCCAAATAGTACTCAAATACCTAAATTATAGTACAATTGAATTACCTATAACTTTAATACTCAGACAAACTTAAGCTGTCATCAAGTCAAGTAGGTTTTAGTTTGAGATCCTGAGAGAATCAATTGCGATAGCAGCGCCTCTCTTATCGGTTCATATATCCTTGGTTTAAATATTCAATAGACTGACTGACACATGACATCATAACCAAAGAGTTATAAATAAATATTTTTTTTATATTTTATGGCTAGGTTACGAGACTTTTAAGCCAACCAACGGGTAAAAAAATTGTGGCGAAAATTAGTCATTGTAGCCTAAATATAGACAAAAATAATGAAGTTAAAAGCATTCAATACTCTTTGGTTAAAAGATTCAAGATAACTTGTGATTAGAATCCGTAGAAAGTTAAGAACAATTGTATGTTTAAATCTCAATGAGCCTAGCACGATAATTTTGCGACAAGCGCCATCTTATTATGTTAATATTAGTATAAGATTTTTGGTATTCCTTACGCACGATAGGGGAGCTGCCCAAATTTTCATGCAAATTTTGTTAATATGATGGCTTTATTCGCAAACATTGTTCTAGGCTGGCCTAAAGTTCGTTAATCACGTGAAAAATAAGTTTACAACAGAAGACAGCATCTATACCTTTCCCGAAATTAAAATATAAATTTAAATGAGTAATTAAAAAAGTATTTACAAAAGCTAACTAACAATTTTCAATGTTCCATGGGTTTTGGCACAACATGGCGAGGGCGAGGTTTCTATTTATATACATTCTTAACTATTTTTTTTTATATCCAATTAAGTTGCTAATTGCGTTTGCTCGATTGAAGTTTGATAGTTTATAAAATTTTTGTCAATTTGTTCAAATATCTTAAACAGTCTTAGATTTATTTAAATTTCAATAACGAATTTGCTGTAACAGACATAATTTTTTTGTGGAACAAATGTTTTAATTTCAGATTGACCAAGAACTGTACTGTTATACTAACAAGGTTTTAACAATGGTCTTGAGATTTTACAAAAACATCCAACAAAACAAATTTTGATGATTACTTCATTTATTTCTATTCTTAGAAGTTTATGGTTAAATTAATCCCAACTGTTGCCTGTAACATTAATTACATCATAATATTTCATTTTCAATTATTTCCAAAAAAACAATTCATAACCTTCTTAAAATAAATACATTACATAAGTACACTCTAAAAAGAATAATTTTTAAATAATTTAAAATACAGCAGGCAACATCCTTTCTATGAATATTTTCATGTCTTTCAGTTCCTCCTCGGAAGAACTGTGTGTGAGGCCTTGATACGTGTTAAATTCGATATTCTTCATAAAAGTTTTGAGGAAGGAAGCTGTCATCTGACCCCACTTGAATGGAACCACAGGGTCGCAATCGCCATGAGCTTGGAATATCTGCAAAATTAAAAATGATTAAATTAGCAATTTATTCCTTTGATAGTTTAAAATTAACCAAGCAATAATTTCTCTCTTTTTCATACTTAAAACCAAGAAAATCTGCTAGATGATCATATTGGACGGCAGCAATGTACGAAAAGACGATTACATTTTTTACATTTCTACTTTATTTAGTGTTTTTTTTTATATTTTTCAGTTTTACTTTTTATCTAAATTTATTAGAGTAAATAAAGACAACTACACCTTATTTATAAAATAACTAAGTACACACGCACATATGCGTATCCGATTGTGTTACGTTCAATACCGCGCGTCATACACATTGACAAAATCAGTCTTAGTTTCTACATGGGAATAATTTTGCATATTTTTTGCTAAAACCTCCTTTGATTAATAGAAGAAATAAATTATTGTTATATTTAGCCAAAGCTAAAGTGATGTTTATAATAGTTGTTGCCGACAGATACGGAACTTTTTACACGTTTTTTTTTTCTTCCTTTTTCTCTATATTTAAAACTATCAGTTGTAAATATATTCTGTAACAGTGCGTGCTTTTCTCTTTATTTCTAATAATTCTATTCTATATTTTCATTTTATCTTTTTATTATACAACATAATATTCCAAAATTCATCACAATCCAAACGCTCTTTCCATCCTTACATTTTACGTCGTCTTTAACAGTGAAGACATTTAAAAAACGTAACGTAATTGGTGAAAAGAAAATATCATACAAGTACATACCTGAATGATTATAAAATATAAAACATGAGTTAATGATTTAATTGAAAATATAAATATACATGAGTTAATGATTAATTTCTTATTGAAATAAAATGTACATAACATTGTAGTCAATTGATAAAATCAGTACATATGGCTAATTTAGAATATTCCAATGCGAATATTATATATGTGTTTAAATTTAGATATTAAATAGCTTGTGAAGACAGTTCTCTTTGACCCCACTTCCTACTAATATAATTTAAATATCCATGAAATGGAGGAACAATAGCCCATAATAGTATAAAATGATAATCAAGCCATTTAATGTAAATACGTATTTCAATATGTCTTATTATAGAAATGTGAAAAATATGTTAATAGCATGTAGGGACATAGATAAATATAATTCCACATATCTTCCTTTTGCTCAATTTCTAAATACATTTTTATTCACAAATCTTTTACCATAACATTATAATTGTTTAAGTCCTAGGTAAAAAAAAAATGGCAATTATATCAATAACAATGCATTCTTCATTTAAGTAGATAATTATAAAACATTTTATAATACACATAAGAGTGATATGTCAATTTCTCTAGATAAGATTAGTAGATTCACATTATCATGTTTGTGGTGACACTATTTGAAATACTGTAACAAATCTGTCATTTTTTTTAAATATATATTTGATAGGCATCAGAATGTTATAACATAATTTATATTTCAACGCACAGCCTTGAACTACTGAGTCTAGCAAATTGAAAGTTTGAGGTTGCGAAATAAAGAATTTTTATAATTTTTTTTTGGGTTGTATGTTTGTATGGATAATGTATCTCCGTCAATATTTCTTAAAAATTAACAACCACTTTCTGTACAAACAATTAATTCCTTCATCCTCAATAAAAGCAACTAATGGTATTATAGAAAATGCAAGGAATATTCAACATACTGGTAAAATAGTAGGAGATTTAACAGCACCAGGGAAGTGAGCATGTCTCGGTAGCCAGCAAGACAGCGACATAACACCAGCCAGAGTGTCCGGATAAGTCAACGCTGCATGCAGAGCTAGTGCTCCCCCTTGAGAGAATCCTCCGAGCAAAATGCGGGTTATAGGTATGCCTGACTAAAAATAGAAAGCAAATTCATATAATTTGAAAACAAAATATTCTTCTATCTACTCTTTTCTAAACTTTCTCTAATTAACATTATCTCACTATAAACATGAATGTTTCGATGGATGTTTGTTTGAAGGTATCTCCAGATTGGCTGAACAGATCGTGATAAAATTAAGTATAAATATAGAACATAGTCTGGAAGGACACATAGGCTACTAATTATGTTTTTTTTTTATTTACGTCCTGACAAAGTCGGGGCTACAGCTATTTTTATAATAAAGTTTAACTTAAGATATTGTACAAAACACAATAATATAGTATTTAATAAATGAAAAATAATAATCTTACCTTGATTTCATCTTCTATCATTCCATGAATGAGGTCTGTCGCCCTAAGAATACCTTCTTCATCCTCTGGTGCTGTAGCATCCAAAGTTCGTAGGTCAAACCATGAAGGCATTCGAAATCCGGCGTTAAGAGTCACAGGCATAGTGGAAGCAGTTGGGCAAATCACCTTAATGTGCGGACCTCTGATAGCGGCGATCGTACTCGCCCAACCATGCCTGCGTTTATCAAATATCAAATTTTACTTAAAATGTTCTACAGGCAGCCGTAAAACATCCCAGACGTCAATACAATACGTACCCAGTATCACCCAGGCCATGTAAGAATATAAGCTGAAACAGACAAAACTTTGGCTTTATAACTAACATTTTTCTCATGGCTAATTTAACACTAACTTGTAACTGACCGAAGCGGTTTGTTTTGCTGTAGCAGCAATAATCACAGGATTAGGCTCCATTATAAGATTTGATAAAAATCAATATAATTAGTATCTGCAGGTGACTGACGGACAGACTAATGAACTTGACTACGACCAATTGCGACTAATGAATGAAATGAACTATGTAATATTATATTGAAGTATTAAGTTGAAGAATAATCAATAACGACCGGTGCTGCCACTAAAAAAATTTACCCGGCCGGGTAATTTTTTTTACATTGTGTAAAAAGTCGCGTTTATATATGAGAGATGAAAGGTGAGCCGTAGCACTACTAAAAGAAAGGTAAAATTTTTCTACGTTAATTTTTGCTGAGTTTCATTATTCCCGGTACAAATAACCAATGATTATTTTCTTAACTTCAGTTATTAACGGAATTTCATTCACAATTTTATCACTTTTAAGCAAGTTTATAAGTTTAAATCATTTCGGTAGATTTACGAAAAGCTGCGTATTTCTCTGCAGCCATAGGGTTGTGTAGGTTTTTTATTTGTTGGCCTGAAAGCCGTTGAACTCGGCAATTGCGGTAGCATTGGCAACACTCCACAAAACACGACAGTAGAGCAAAGCAACATCACACAAAACACAAATTATACCGGTATATTGGTGGACCATCAATGTATAGTTATGGCCCACTTAAGACATTATTGTAGTTCTTGTAAAAAGTAAAATACTGAACCTTATGCTACAAGTATAATGTTAACATGTAAATTATTAAAAAAAATATTAGATTAGAATTTAAACAGTCATGGTTGACCATAATGTAATACTTTTATAGACAGTCTTTTTTAATTTTTGATTTTTGATTACTTATTAAAAAAATTGTGAGACGCTTCTATATTTTATTTATAAATGAATAGTTTCGTTTTCGCTCGTTACTAATTTCGTTCATTCGTTTTTATCACATAAATATCTTTGGCATTCTCTCTCATTCATATATGCTCTTTGATGCTCTTTGATTCTCGTCATTCAGTTTCGTCATTGTTGTTTACCATTGGTTTACTATTTTAATATCGAATTTGTTTAACATTTGGATAAAATCCGTACCCTCTTTTCTAATTCAAGGAATAAATAATATTCAATATTATTACTTTGAATAAGGTAAGTTTAAAGGACCTTATTTTGAAAGGAATACAGTATGTGGTTATTGTTAAACAGAATCTTGATTTTATTAAATATGATGGTCGATTGATTCTTCAAATTACGCATACTGTATATGACAATTGTACTTACTTACTAATTAGCCCATTTGCCTGTCTCCTATTCTTTTCATGAGTTTGACAGTTAATTTGTTTACAAACACATGAAAGCACCTCGAAACTTAGGTCCTAATAGATAGACTTTTCTGATGTGCATAATTATCTACTACGTTATACTTAAATTGACTCATGATATCTCTCTAATTGTGTAGACTGTATTTGTAAAGATATGTGACTTAGAAGTTCGTCTGAATATTGTATTGATAATATTAGTACAAGTATATACTTATACCTAGATGGAGCATTCAGAGTACAAAAGTGAGGCGTGTTAGAAAGCCTTCGTAGGCCTTTTTTGTGGTTAATTTCCCCAGTGTTGTCATTTCGATTATAATATTTACATGAAAATAAATTCAATACAACCTCTTTTCTTATGTTTGTAATTTATTTCATACTTTTTAGTAAAATTTAAAAATATAACTTGTGACATTTTTGAATATCTAATTATTACAACAACGATAAAAAAAAATTGTTAGAATAATGTAATAATAAAATGAAATTAAAAATATTTAAACAATTTTTTTAATTTTTAAACACTACATTTTCCCAATATTGGGAAAAAATTACATAATAGTGGCAAACATTTGCACACATGCACACTAATAATATTTAAGAAAATGTCACAATTTTAAATTATCAAACTTATATGAAATGCTCCATCTGGAGGTAATAAATCTATGGTTACAATTTTCTTGCTTTTTTATTATTCAACACAATAATACTTTATTTGTTACTTTCAGCCTATAGATGTCCAGTGGGCATATGCACGTGATCAGCCTTCCTCATCCGGTGGACTTAAACACTACCATATATAAATAAGGCATTGCAACTAATGATTACATGTATTATCTTCCTGGAATCTTTTTCAATATTAACTGTTTCCAGTTTTGTCAGCAATGGCTGGAGAAGAAGTATCACTTAGACTGGAAATGGGGAGATTAGAGATTGAACCAATAAAGCCTAATAAACAAATCCAAGATGAAAATCCTTTCACTCACATTTCACTACAGAAGAAATGGCCTGCCACCAAATCATGTGTTCAAAGCTATAAATGTGCTTGTACACCTCACAAAAAGAATTCAACTGCTACAATAAGCAAAAAGAGAAACAATAAGATCTTACGTGAACCAGTTTTGAAGCTAACAAAACATTTCGAGAAAAATGAATTAAGGAATCCAGAATTATTGAATCATTGTAAATTAACTGTTCATAAATTAAACACAGTCAATGTAAGCTTAAAGGCACTTGTAGATAATTGCAATCAGCTGAGTTTATGTTCTGATAACAATGTCAAAACAGAGCCATATGATAAAGCCAAATGGTGGAAGAATGATGTTTCAAGTGACAAAGCAAGCAAAGAGACAAGTCCAGAGTTGAGCCAAGCAGGGACTTGTTCTCAACAAGCTCTAAACCCTCCCTGCGATGTGACAATAGATGAATTGGCCAGTTACTTTGAAACTCTGGTCCATATACCTAAGAAAATGTCATCAATGGCTGAAATGATGTATATTTAAACTGTTTATAAATCTTTTATCGTAAAAATTATTATTAAAGTTAATTCTACATCATAATGGTTTTCTTTAAAAAGGTTGTTTTTACTAAAAACATAAGTTTTAAACAATTATTTTTCCTGTAGCTTGCACACTTTCATGCAAGTGTAAACACTATCTGGCATGCAAGGAAACTATAAACAAATAATATTTAGCTATGGATCGCTCAATTAACTAACGAAACATTAAACGCTTTCCTTTTTTATTTATCAAAACCGCAATTTATAAAATACAAATATTTCAATTATTAATTAAAAACAATAGTTACAAATTATCGATTACATGTTCGAACAACAATCGAAAAGATCCAAAACAGATTTTACAACCCTTGTCCAGTGAATTCTCAAATATCCTAAAACAAACTATAGTTGACATCATAATATAATCATCAAGAAAGCAAAGACCTAACTCACGTTCGCTGATAGAGATAACCGTCAAAGCGTCTCTAGATACTGTCGACTTCAAGTTTCATAAGAAAAATTATCGAAGAGATTCACAGTACAACCCTATTGTTAGCTTTCAGCTGTCAAATAATTTTTGAATTTTGTGTTTGCGGAAAAAATCAACATTTCAAAGTTTCAAAGAAAGGCGTAATAAATGGATAATTATTATTGTGTTAAAAGAATTAACGTGTAGATTGTATTAACTTTCTTGTATAGTACATGTAGAAACCAAAAAACAATAGTAAAATTACCATTTAACTTCTATCAAATTGGAAACACTAAAAAAATGTTCAATAAATTCGGCTGTCATATATTCTTTAATGCTTATAAATATTCTTCAAACTATCTACTATTTTCAATTATATTTTCATTTTTGTCTGTAATTTGTGTTTGGATTTATGAAAAAGAATCATTTTATGAGGTAAAAGATTGGATTATCTAAATATTTTTATTGTTATTTTTTCCAATGATTAAACTAGCGATCAACCTCGATGAAGTAAAAAAATCTGTGTTTTTGTACACCACTTACTTTTCTTTTCAGTTTATATTCAAAAATTGTATACAATCAGAAATAATAATAATGCAGGACAAAGGTGAATATAATCAATCCACTATTGATAAAGAGTCTGTAAATAATTTAGAACCAAATAAAATAATGGAGACATTGGATGAGTAAATACACACAATTATATAGATTCCAATCTAACATCAAAATTTTATAATTAGTTGTATAAATGTATTACTTGTACTCACAACTTTTTTAAAATGTCATTCCCAGTGTTGTTCTAAAGTAGCATATAACAGGTTTTCCTTTGCTATGGATAATAATGTCAATAAAAAGGAGATCCATTACAATAGATAAATGATGTATTTTGTAGCCTAATAAATTTCTTTAATTTAACAAATGTATTTTATTATATAGTATCAAATATTCTGCCAAGTGATATGATATTAGTACATTATTTCATTACCATGTATGTGATGAGTTTTGTTAATTCATGTACTTATTATCCCCAAAGATTACATATCAATGTTGTGTAGTTATTGAAAGGAGTCTATTTAGTGTTGTATAACTACATACAGTCTTTCATTCTTGTTGGGAGTAAAACCAAAAAGTATTTATAACCAATACTTACTTTACCAAATACATCCAAGTGAAGGAAGAATAACAGCAACTTGTCCTCAATTGTTACTATATTAAGTACAGTAGCAGTGGTATAGTAATAGGTTTCTATAATTAGAACCCTTTGTTAGTAACTTGGTCTTATTGTTACTCAATAAGACCAATTGCTCTCAAAACAAGCTTCACCTTAAAAGTGATACAGGTTTCATGGGATGATTATGTACAATAATCATAGTTATTACTGAACGATTTTCTTCCCTTATATTGTTCTGTACTAAACTGCATCGTTACTAATGTGATGTCATCAGTAATATATCTAGTAAACAACAGTGTATCAAGTTTTACATATGATAGGTCTATAAAAAGATAAGAATGATGACACCAATAAGAGAAGTCAAATAAAGATTACATTGATTTCCTTCTTTTTTATATTATACAGTAATAATTACATTTATACCACTACATATTATTGATACCAAAACTTTTTTAATCACAGGTAATAAAGATTTTGATTAGGTATCAAAAACTGTAACACAATTCATATTTATACATAGTGCATTTTGTTTTAGAAACCACTATATAAACAGTGAGAATATTTTAATGTTTAACATGATTGACTATAGCACCCCAAATATTGTCCAGCAAACATGGTGCAGTGGGGCGTCCGGAAAGAAACATTCACAAGTCCACAGCTCACAATGCGCACCATTAGAAAAATAAATTATAGACGGTCCTAACCTGTCACTATCAATTTATCTTGGCATATGTTCTCTGCATACCTGAAAATTATACAAATTTAAATAAATAAATATTATTTTTGAACCTGCTTGAGAAGTTAAAATGTTACATTTTCTCTTATAATGTGTTTGATATTTATTTTTGTTTATAGTATGACATATTATTTATAACAACACCTTAACAGCTGTCTGTTGACAAACAGGTTTAAGCCTAGGTAACATAAATAAGAAGTATGATAAAATATAAAACACGAAGTCCACAGCAACAATGAAATAATTATTTATTTGAATTTAAAATAATGAAATTTAGTTGGTAAAATTTATATTATATTTTATATTAACAATATTCTGAAAACTTGTATACATTGTATTCACTTTAATCATTGGTTTAATGCAATCACATGTACATCTCCCATGCAAAGAGTACATTTAACCTTAGGACAGATCTTTTAAGCTATTATAGAGAATGTAAGTAATACTATAAACAGCAATTAGTACTAACCATGTCTGATGACTAGAAATGTTTATATTAACAAATTTTTCAACATTGTATACAGTGGGATTAATTATTCTAAATTTTATTGAATGTTAATCTTATGAGAATATTGTTTAATGTAAGATAAAACATACACAAACACACCTTACATACTATCTACTATACTTAATGGGTATAATTTGTATGAAGCAATACATACTTCATATGACAGGAATTGTTTAGTGCAAAGGTAATTAATTTTGTCTAATATAGAGAATATATTAAAGAGATTCATTGTAATATACTGACTGCAGTTGAGCACGAAAGCGGTGCATAATTATTCTGCGGATTGGGCGGACTCTGGAAGGTGTTGACTTGCATCGGAGTGTGCTGGTTGTGCGGCGGCGGGTGTGTGGCGAGCGGGGACACGGGCGGCGCCATGGCGCTGCCCCCGCCACCGGCGTTGCTCGGGCTGCCCGTTGTCGACAGACGGGAGAACGCTGCTAACGCGTCTGGAAAGTTCGGTGGCGTCGCTGGAGTGTTACACGGAGTTATTAATTGCTGTAAACAAAATAATTGCTGATGATCAAAACAGTACTTAAATAAAAGAAAGAACAAATTAGTAAGAAAATGTTCAATGTTGCCTTTGTAGATTCATTAGTTGTTTATTTTTGGCCATTGCTTTTTTAGGCAATTACTGTTTCAAATGTTTTTGCTTATTACTGACCTGGTGGTAATGTTGTGCAGCAATACCATTTGCCCCTGATGGTATTGCAACTTCTTGAAAGAATATTGATAAGGCAGTCTGTAAATATTAAATTTTTTTTTAAATCATAGTGCAACACGGTTTTCATAACTTTAGATATTTTATCCTGGGGTATGGTTATGCATAATGTAGTGAAATGATCAACAATGACAAAGGACCAGCATAGAGAACACAATAAGTGTTCAGGGTGCATTTTAAGGGGAAAAGAATTTGTGGTCTGTTCTTGTTAAAGAAAACAAAGTAATAGCATGTTTATGTATAGTTGCTGAATAATGTTTTTAAACTAGGTAATAATAACAACACTACCTAATAAATTTGTGTCAAATCACATTGTAAAAAAGTCTGCTGCTTTAGAATTTATATGTTATTTACAGTATTAATAACAGCATATTTAAGTTGTCAATTCACCAATCAATAACCTATTTCAAAAATCCGAACAATCTTTCACCTCCCTATTCTGCCTTAAAGGAGGAATTTGATAAAAGCCTTAAACAGATAACATTCATATAAATCTCTGTAATCCTTTAGGAGGAGATGAATTTAGTAAAATTGTTTCTTAGGATATAGTAACAGAGTATGCAAACTTTCAATTCGTTAGATCCAGTAGTTTTCATTATGTATTTATTAATATACATTAATCTTTATATATATATATATATATATATATATATATATATATATATATATATATATATATATATATATATATATATATATATATATATAATTTTAATTAAATATGTTATATGCTAATACAGTTTTAATATTTAACATATTAAATTAAAATTTCCTCATTGTTTGGTTCTAATGACAAGCATCATTGTGATATAATTGGGCTCAAGTACAATGGCAACATAAAACTAGTGCCAACAAGCACAATACATAGCATTGTTGAAGTTTGCTGATCAAATTTAATAAGAATAATATTGTTAAGAATTTTAAATTGAAAGGGAGTGTTAATGACACAACAAACAGAGATTAAGGTGTCTTTCAGACTCTTCCTGTTATGTATTGTCCGGTTAAATGAAATGAAATGTGAATCAAGAAAGCTGCCTTTTAATATCTTTTATATCTGCAGCTCTATAGAAAATACCAGAACTAAAACCCCAATTCTATGGATATTTATTTACCTATTTATTTATTATTATATTAATAAATGAATAGGTATATTAATAGTAATTAAAATTCAGTTTGATAAATAAATGATTAAATTGAAGAACCATGTGGCATTGGGCTAAGTGGTTACTTAAAGAAATACAAGGTCATCTCTCTCCTTGAAACAATAAATTATTTAAAGGTTATTATATGAATGTACAAAGGTGATGTGGTATGATTGACCTAATGTTTTCCTAAAATTGAGAATTAATAATTTTCATTGAAACTACTCTTTACTTTTTTTGTTTGTATACTATACTTGACTATCATATATGTCTCCTGAATCAAATTTATCAAAAATTAGGTTACAATATAAAAGAACTCAAATGAACAAGTTTTGCTTAGATTTCTTTTTGAGTTAAAAGGATTATTTAAAATAAAATTAACAATATTTCTAATACATGAAAACTTTAAGTGATGAAATGTTTGTACTAGTTATATGATAAACAAGTGTTTTGCTCCTTGACACTTCAATTGTTATTGTTAGCTTATTTACAAACTACGCGCTTAATTTGTCATTAACAAGACTTAAAGTAAATCTATTTTTGACAGTCAAGGAAATAATACAGGTTTCAGTGTGCGCCTTGCCGACAATCAAATGTGTTTTCGTTTGATGGTGTTTATGTTAATGGCCCAATTTATAAACAAATGCACTTATCAGAAAATATAGCAAAATAAACGTGATGTAGCAGCCATTTTCATGATTTAATTGTTTGTTTACATGTATTACTCAAATTTACCTCAAATTGCCAATGAGCAGCCTGAAGTAATTGTTTTGCTTGTTCGCGAGCGCATCCCGCTGCCAGCACAAATTGATTTATCATAACTTGTTCACGTAACGCTGAATCCATTGTATTTTAAGATCTTAACCAAATATAAGTTCACCGACTCTGCAAGAAATAGTAGCAGTTATGTACAAGTACAAGGTAGGTAGTAGTAGAGTAGGTATGCAGATGAATGTTTATTCTGTTGGGATCACGGACTAATTTTACGAAAGGCGCTAGTGAGCATACATTGTTCACAAGAGTAAAAGAGAGGTCCGAACTGCGAAGTTTACATCAAAGAGTATATAAAATAAGAGACGGGACTCTTGACTAATTAGATACACAATCAGATTTAAATAAATCACCAGTAAATGTGTTATGTTGAACAAACAAGAAATCTTTATATTTTATAGGAATTTACTAGATACGAAAAATCCGAAACATTATTACATTACATATATATTGATCTTATGATAATTTAAGGACTGTGAATTTTCCCGATTATTTAGTAAAGAAATTTTCTTTTCAATAAAATATAGTTCTTCCATGTTTATTAAATTATCTGAAGATTAAAATTGGTGTTATAAAAATTAATTGATAACATTTGGGTATATCAAGCTAGATTCGATTTAAGATCCCCCGGTGAATGTTTTGAGAGGTTTGTACATATTCTATCTACATTTGGATTGACGTTGACATTTGACTTGACAGTGACATATTGTAGCACATTTTGCATAGCGGTGTCGATGTTGGTGTTTTCTATTTTTGGACCAATTTCAATAATTTGATTTGTCGTTTTTAGTTTTATGTATTGAAATTTTTATAATTCATATCTGAAAATAATGCTTATCGGCACCTGTCCTGAAGAACCTACCAAAAAAAAGCGGCGTAAAAATTTAGATACAGCGGGTAAAGTCGGAAAATTCTTAAAAACTATTATTTATTTGACTACTACCATCCACCAAACTTGTTCATTGGTGCAGATACCTTAGTATATCATTTAATGTAACCTCTTCATAACTTTACAGATCAAATAAATGAAGATGAGAAACCTATAGCTAAAGAAATGTTACAAAAGGTTCGAAAAAAGCACATACCTAACCTCAGATTAAAACCTGCTGGAGATATTGCATCTTTACTCACAGCCGAACAAGAAAGAATACCATTAATGCTCACTGATGTACAGCACCTTCTTATGCATTCCCTGTTTGGTAACATCAATTTAAGTCAACCTCCTCGATGGTATGTTTTGGATAAGGGTGATCATGTAAGTCAAACAACATGCATCATCTTAGAAGGTCTTTCTATTCAACACTGGGAAAAATATCATAAGAAAATGTTAAATTCTAATAAAATTTTTAAGCACCATATAGAAATTCTTACCCCATCTGTATACAATGGTTCACTTGTTAAGGAGTTAGCTTTAGTACCTTTGTCTGAAAATGATAAGGAAGCAATCATACAGAAATATGGAAGTATGAATTTAGCTTTAGAAGCTAGAAAGGATTTGATGGTTATGATGAGGGCAGTCTTTCCAATTGAAGATGGTGATAGTGAAAATTATAATTATACAAATGGAGATGCCTTTCCTAGAACACAACTCATCTTGTCAGCATGGCAATTGATTGAAGACAATTATCCATTGCCTTTGAAAGGAAAATTACAAAATGCTTATGCAGATTATGTTATGACTAAAGAGGAATATAAACCAGTTACAGCCAAATCACCAATGTTTGGATTAGATTGTGAAATGTGTCTAACAAGTGCAGGTTCAGAATTAACTCGGGTTACAATTGTCAATGAGAAACATGAAAGTGTATATGAAACATTAGTTAAGCCTTATAATGATATAACTGATTATTTAACAAAGTATTCTGGTATTACTGCAACATTACTGGCAAATGTTGACAAGAGGTTAGAAGATGTTCAAAAAGAAATTAGAGATTTATTACCCCCTGATGCCATTTTAGTTGGTCACTCACTAAATACAGATTTACATGCTTTAAAAATGATGCATCCTTATGTTATAGACACTAGTATAGTATTTAATATCACTGGGGAAAGGTGTCGTAAACCTAAGCTAAAGGTAATAGCTAGAGAATTTCTCAATGAAATTATTCAATCTGGAAAAGAAGGTCATTGTTCTAAAGAAGATGCCACAGCCGCTCTGAAAGTTGTACAGCTAAAATTGAAAAAAGACTTAGAATTTGGTGATGCCGTTCATACTAAGAGAAAACAGTACAAAGAAAATTTTATAAAAGTGAAACAAAAAGAGGAATATGCTTTATCAATTTTTAATCATATAATAGAACAGAAGAAAACATCAATTGTAGTTGGTTGTGATAACATTACAGGGGATTATCACACATACTTGACACAAGCAAAAGAAAGCCTTAATTCTCATTTGAAAAAGAACAAAGTGAAAAAGGTGAAACTTTGCACAGTAGATGGTGTGGAAGAAGTTATATCCAAGCTGTCTGAATCTGTTAGTGAATTTAACTTAGCCATGGCACATCTCAAATTAGAAATTAACACTGAAAATGGATTACAACAAATGCTTGAGATTGATGCATGGATACAAAGAGTATGGGACAGTTTGAAGCTTTCAGGTTTGTTTGTTATTGTCTTTGGTGGCACAACAGATACCAATGGTATTGCAATGATGAAAGTAAAAGATGTAACATGAATTTTACTTCACTGAATTAATTTCCACATTAGTATTTAAGTAACAAGTTTTTTTTCTTCCATATAAGACCAAAACAAAAAACAAAGTCATGGAAAACGCAATTCCTATGAAATGTAATATGCATATTAGCTTCTAAAGACTGATTCCAATTTCACATAGAATATGTGTAGTAAATTTGTTATATCACATTACAGTTGCTTGTTGTATGTAAGTCCTGTTTTGTGGACAATCCGTACAAAAGGCATTTGTTGGTCAGTAGACAAAGTTTACTATTTTATTATAAAATGCCTTGCTGAAAGTTAAAATGAATTATTTGTAAAATGAATACATCGAATATAAATCAAAAGACATACAAGATTATGTACAAAAGTATTACTGGTTTTTTTTCCCCATTTTAATAAAGTAAATTTAAAATACGCGTCATAACGATTATTTATTTATTTATATAAACAAGGAACAATATACACATTACAATAAAAGTGTATATTGTAATAGTGTAACTTGCTACCGCAGATGAGTTGATGGCTGCATGCTGCTTACTAGTAAAGGTATATATATTTGTTCTGACGTTACAGAGAGCTAATTAAAAGTAAACAACAAATTTTCTATTAAACTAACATTTTACTAATATTATAAAGAAAGAAATTAAAACTTTTATGCAATTATTTTAATTTATATATTTTTGTTTGTAACCTTATATAAACAAAAATAATTGCTCAAATTATTAATATTCTTTAACTTATCCAAGCAAGTACTTGCGGACAGACTAACAGACACACAGATAAGATTTTTTTAGTGCTTTTTTTGTTAATAGCGAAAAGATTATCATGTTACATACAGGCACACCAATTTTATTCCATATAGATACAGTAACAAATCTCTTTTACAAAAGAGAGCGCTTACTAAAATTTGAGTAAGTTAAAAGGGTTAGGTAAGATTAAAAAGTTTTAAGTTTTTCTTAAACAAAATTTGAATTAAGAAAATCTTTTGAAATGCGATAAAATAAGTTGAGGCTTTTTTTTTAAAAAGGTTAAATGAGAATGATTGATTGTCAAAATGGATTATAGTTTTGGTTTTGTTTGCTTATACAAATTCTAAAAAGGGGAACTGTAGCGTCATCAATTTTCTACTTACGTTTTGTTTACATAATAGCGATAATTGTTGTGAATACAACAATTACCTCTCACATATAAACTTATGGAATATATTTAAAACTCACGCCTTGTCCTTGACCTAGACCTAGAACGTTAGATACAATAGTAGACTATTTATTTCTATTTTAAAAAGGCTATTAGAAAGTCTTAATGTCCATAAGGATACACGGCAGTAGTAGGCCCATGAAGAGATGGATGGATTGCGTGAGAGGTAACATAATCTAGGAAGAAGGGAGGACTGAGATGAGGAGTGATAGATGGATCTGGACGAAAACCTGGTGTGCGATTCTTGGTGAGTGGCATAAATATAGAGAGATAATCAAATGACCAATCAAACTTTTAGTATTTGTCACCAAAACCAGGTCCGTTTCCGAAATATAATCTTAAGTTTTTCAAGGTTTCTAATTATAAACACGGATCTGTTAGAACCACCGGTCTATTTAACTTATACGTATTATAGACCAAATTAAACGTAGTTAAGAAAACAGATTAAGAGTTATAACGATTTTGTATTTATTTTATAAAGCTAAAGTAAAAATACTTTTTTAAATAATCTATGATAAAAAATATCGTTGCAATATTGCTATGGTTATGTCATTTGCTGAGTGCATAAATTTGTCCGGTGATGGGGTCCACGGTGAGTGACGGGGGTAACTCGGCGGCCATATCGGCCAGCGCCTCCCAGCGCGTTGCGCGGCTGCCCTCCGACTGACTCGGACTTGCTAACTCCTCTACTACTTCCCTGCAAATATTTAACACTTATTACAATCAAGACTTATGGAGGGGTAGTACATGCTGTGACGACCCTACGTGGGGATAAAGGCAGGTTGACGATGAACTTACTTGATCTCTTCCGGGGCGGTTACTGAAGACGTTTCATCTTTACTTCGTTCGACTTGAGTGTCAGTCTCATGTTCTATAGCTTCTACTTGGGTAAGGTTCGATTCAGAAGAACTATTTTCTATGTTTTCATGTTTTTCCAAAACATTGTTAGACAGGACGTGTTCAACGACTTCTTTTAAAGTCGTTATTTTTTCTTGTTCCCGATAATCAGTATCGTTTTGATTCATTTGATTGTTATCCTCTTGTTTGCTCTGGTCATCTGTAAAATTTAGGTAACATATTTCATAGCAATTGAAATATTTCTGTCCTAAGCCTTATTTGTTTTGTTGCATAAACTATAAAATACGGCATCCCATACACAGTCAAACCAAGATAATAAAACACGTTGACGCTTATGAAGATATTTTTTCTTTTAAAGAACGTACTTAATATCGTAAAAATGCAGTGTCTTTTGATAAGTGAAAGACGGTAGAACCCTAACGTACAACGCGATCATAAATTAACATGATACCACATCAGCTTTATAAAATAGTTTAGATTGTAAATTGTAATGTTATGTTAGCGAAATTTAATTTTTTTTCTTTAAGTAATCACGCAATAATTCAGTTACTCCTTAGTACCATTAGAAAAAAATGAAATTTTTACGTGTCAAGCCATAACGCGCACTTCGACCACCAAAGTTAAGAGCGCTTTTTATTTCAATGATTTAGGGTAACATTTGGGTGGCACTTACTGACGTTATATGTATGTGGCTAAAATTAAATATTTTTTTTCTCTTCGAACATGAGGGTATTATAAAAGCTCTACGGACCGGACGAACGTTTGGGCTAGCTCGGGGAGTGTGGTGCAGTTATTATAGAAGTCGAATCGAAGTTACGTTTTCGTATTTTGGGTTTGCGTGTGCGAAGTCCGCAATTCATTTCAATCGGTTTAATTTTCAATAAATTCATTATTTTCGTGGAATACTAGTATTACGTTATATTCTTTGTGCTATGTCGAGGAGTGAATAGGGGCTCGTGGAATCTTAACCGTTCTGGACGACTCGGTAAGTTATCTATTAATTCTATGCTCATAATGTTTCCTGTACATGGGCTGCGATCCATTTGGTGTGAATGTTGTGAATGCGTATACGTGGCAAAGATCAAATTTTGTAAAAGTCAATTTATTTACCTTCTATATTTTCTGTGGTTGTAGAACCGTTATGTATATACAAATTATTTCTATCTAAGTGTACATCATTAACATTATCACATTTAGAAAGTCCATTTTCTTTGTTTAATTCATTCTCTTTATTTTTATTAATACTTTCGTCCTCCAAAAAATGTATAGTTCTATCTGAAACAAGGGTATACAAAGTTATAGAAATATAAAACACGTTTCGAATAATTACGCTCCAAGTGTATATAAAGCTTTTTATTAAGAACAAACAACAAAGTAATAAACCTTAATTATTTTACATGCGTGAAGCGAATTGAATAAAATTAAGCGGCGTCTTACCTTTAACATTGACCTCGAGTTCACTCAATACGCCCAACCCTAATTCGCTTATGTTTTCAAATAGCTAATGAAACAACAAAGAGCATACGTAATGGCCCATTACCGAGAAGATGAAACGTATAAAGCAGTGCTCCATGATAATTTATTCAACCTAATAAAGTAAATACGGAATAGAAAGTGCTAAAAAAAGAACAATACAAATTACAAGTTTTCGTCATTCGGTCACCTGTAGAATTGGTATGAGCTTCGATGACGTTCGGAGCGCTGCTAGTACAGCCCATGGTGGGTGAGAATTAAATTAGAATGTTGAACATGCGTAAAGCGAGTCAAAGGCTCGAAGTTATTCAGCGACGGGACGTAAATGGTGACCAGCCGACAAGCCGAGCTCAGGCCGTCTGCACGACTGCCGTTGGTCGCCCGGCCACCCGGCCGCCCGCCTCCGGCGCTGCTTTGCCTCTAGCAGATCGTATCGTTCTCGCCATGGGAGGGTGTTCACTCAGATGACCTCGCACTCGCACCCCCATCACATTTCTTTTTTAAATAAACGAGTGTAACAACATTGTTTTACTTGACGTACATATTTTTTATGTGATTTATATATATTAGAAGGTAAGCGTATTGTAATTAATACTAACGCAATTTGGATTTGCAAAAATTTGGATTAAACTTTGAAAACTATGAATCCAAACTTTCAGTATCAATTAATTCCATAGACTAAGAATAAATTTAAATTATAGCTAGACTCATCTGTCTGGCCTTATCTCATTCACGATGGGTCGGCGGCGCACAAGGTTTTAATATCCTTAGTTTTGGCTTAACTTTTTACGGTCGGCCGTCTGCCTGTCGCCAACCCTACTTGGAAGGAATACATTAACATTATAATATAATTTTAATATTATAACTTTTATTTTTTTAATAAACAAAAAAAGAAATATTTAATTATAAACTAAACAATTATAGGTAGACTAATAATATAAAACTACGTTATTAATAAATTGAAGTTTTCAAAGTTTGAATGAACCCAAACTTATTATTTCCGAAACACTTGCGGTGCTAGACAAAGTGCATTCGCTCCGAGAATAGCCATCTTGTAGCATTATTTCTTAAATTTATTTTCCTGTGTTTTTGGTTACCAGTAATCATGACTATAAATTATCGCCATCATACCGCGTATTTTCAACGTCATCACTAACTAGTAGATTGGAAAAGAAAATAGCGTTGATCAATTCTGTAGTCAAATTAATAGTGTTACTTTAACAAAGGGTCAATTAAATATCGTCTCAGTACCTAATGAGTGGTGTACCACCTTGGCACTCATTCTAAGTACATACAGCTCACTAAAGCAAGGTTATGGAGATTTCATTTTTGTGATAATGTCAGTGAGAGCATAAAATGCATTTTAATTATGGTTTATTTATAACTCTTTAGTTTTGTAAATGTATGGACTAGTTAAGTAATCGTAAACAGTTATTAGTAAAAATAACACTATTTTCGGAGGTACAAGAGGAAATGGATTTCATTTGTTTACATAGCAATGTGTGTGCTCACGACACATTTTACTTTATGGCTAAATAAGGCTATAAATGTACGAGGAATGTAATTTTTTTACTTTCACAATGCACTATTTGAATACCGTCAAGGATAATGTGAAACTTCATTAATTCTTACACGCTGCTTACCGCCTAGGTATTATTTCTATTGCACGCTATAAAAAGGTGCGGTTGGATCATTAATACTAAAGCTAAAGTGTACTATAGCAAAAACTAAAAAAAGGTTAGTCGATACTTGTTTTGCTAACTACATCTTGACAATATATTTTGTAATACTTGAAAATTTCTAGAGCTGATTAAGCCGAGGTTCGTGATCGTTTTAAAGGACTTCAAGATAATTAGGTACGAAATAGAAATAAATATGAACTCTTGAAATTACATCATTCGGAAAACTCGTTAGATTAAAAGAATTATTAAAGTAGTAAACCGCAACTTCGTCCACGCGCAATAAAAAAAAATAAACCTATGTCACCAGGAGATAGTGTAGCTTTCAAAGAGTGAAAGAATTTTTCAAATCTATTCAGTAGTTTCCGAGCCTATTCAACGCAAACAAATCTTTCTTATTTATAAAACCGGTATGTTATTATATATTAAATATATCAAATGCCGGTATAATATTATATTGTTTGATAAGTAATCTGTTGGTGGTTTTTTGTCCGACGAGTCCTGAGACAAGGACCCAACAACGATAATCTAAATCATAAGGTAAAACAACCGCTTGCCTGACCCCCAATATTATTGACCAATTAGAGTTTAGCGACGTCCGTAAAAGTTCAAAGTTTAAAATACCCATTAGTCATTTTGTATTTAAAATTTTTATCAAGTGGGTCATTTTATTGTAATATCGGCTCAGCTTGCACGAAAGCGATCAAATATAGCAAGATCTATTATTAATTTGATCAGGTGGACCTTTATAGGTACTTACTCCTAACACGTGTTTCCTAGTGTTTTCTATATTTGTATTATATATGGCGGAAAGCTAACGAATCTTTAAAATTGCTCTTTTTCGATAATTTTTTATAAAAAACTTCGAAAGGATGGGAAGAGAAAGTAGATTAGGCAGAGGTGGGGATGAATTAAGATAGTCAACACTTCTGCAAATGTGGATTTCTATGGGCAGCGATCACTTCGGGGAATTCAGGCGGTCACCTAATACTATAAATTAACGTCCACACCAAAGAAAAAAACAAACATGCATTAAAATAGGTTATATTATACAAGAATATGCGCAACTTGTTTTTATCGAAGATATCAAATAAATATAGACAAAACAAAACGCCAGTTCAGCTGCTGGTGGTCAGCGTGAGCAGGGACACGCCACCTCTTTGATGCCGATCAGAGCGATCGCCTCGATCTCAATCAATGCGTTGAGCGGCAGCTTCACCACTTGGAAAGTTGCGCGCGCCGGATAAACATCGGTGAAAACTTTAAACAAAAACACAAACAAAAAGTAAATGAAAGAAGCAAAGACGATACGAATCTATGTTGCAAAAGTGTTGGTGGACGTCATGGAAAAACTTATTCTAAACAAATCATTCTATGCGCCGATGCATTCCACTTGCAAAGGGGGAGCGATACTACAGTGAGGTTATGCGTCTAATTTGGGCAACAGAATGCCCAACATTTGATGCCCATAACCTCATTGTCCGGCATGAAATTAACTTTTATTTTATGAATTTCCCAACGAATTAAAAATACTGTTGTTCTTCGAGTCAACACAGTCATCAGTGTCGCAATTAGGTCAGTTATTACAATACAATAATTTCTATATATCATGATAATGAATACAGATAACGCATTATATGCAGTCAGTTCTATCTTTTTAAACACGGAGCTGAATAGTAGTGTTCTGTTAGTTCAAATATTTAGCCGACGCATTTTATACTCATCTCTTCTATCATCATGAGCCAACATTATTTTTGTCGTAATATTTTACCTTTTTGATGAAAATATTAAACGCTTTTATTAAACCTATTTTAGTTTGTCTTAGAATCAGAATTTTACTCCCTATTATATTTCAATCCCTTCCTATGCGGAAAGCGGAAAGGGAAAGGGGAAGGGGACGGGGACGGAAAGGCATTAGGTACACACACACCCATCAGACGAAACTACCACTGTTAAATGCTTATCCATTCCTAAAATACGAAAATAAAGACTTACATTCTGCATATACTTTGTTGACGCATGGAAAATCATCCATACTAGTCAGTAGGATTGTCGTTTTCAGAACACCCTGTAGGGAGCTTTCGCCAGCCTCCAAGATACTTTTGAGATTGTTGAGCGCCTGCCGTGTTTGGCCCTCGATGCCGCAGATCATGTTTGACTGCGTGTCAAGGCCGAGCACGCCCGACACGTACAGCGTCTTGTCCGTCAGCACCGCCTGACTAAAAGAGGCACCAACTGTTATTTATACCAAATAACACTATTTAGGTGATATATGTTTTATGTTGGATAACTAGGTGACAAACAAGTAAGCGTTCAGTTGGTATGTTAACGTAGTGACCGCTGCTTATAAACATCTGCAATATACTTATAGAGATGTAGATGCTTACTTTTTTTTAAGGGAAGGTAAGGGCGTTTTTTGATTTTTAATAATAATTAGTTTAAAAGATAATACTATATTACCTTTATTAAACAAAGTTAAAATTACAAACGTTATTAAGCTACGTGGGGTCGTGAACAATGTAAGTACATTTACAAGTCACTGAACTTTAACCCAGAATATTTTTTTATAATTATTGCTATATCCGTGCCTTGGCTCATTGGCGGAGTTAAAAAGCGTAGTCTTTCTTTCTCTAAATAATTATATTCATATTTAACGTAGGATCTACAGTAATCACTTACAACCTCAGAAGTATATGTATACCTAAACAATAAATAAAGTTATTGCAATCTATAATAGACATTGTTTATCATGCGTAAATTCTATTATTGATATTTACACATTTGATGTTCGATAAACACATATTTATGTAACATAGTACACTTGTTATTAACAAATGCAAAAACAACATCTAAATAAAATTCTTACTTTGAAATGAGAACTGACTTTTGTAGAAGTGTATTAACCACTTTTATGCTAATTGCCTGAACCCGCCCAGGCTTTGCCCGGATGACAAAGCGTATGCATCTGAATCACTTTTCGTCGTGCCAGTAGTACCCTTATTTTTTCTAACGAGCGAAACACCCCCGTATAAGTATATTTGCTTATTGTTCACTACCCACAATCACATTGACAGTATTGAAATCATATTTTGTTAGGTAAATCGTTGTCATTAGATCAAAATTACTTAATCTTACCTGTAAGGTCCAACAGGCTTGTAAACATCCGGAGATGTTATTGCCTTTTTATTAATTTTTGAAGCCTTAGTACTCGTCTTAGACATATTTGGATTTAAATCTGTAACACGTTTGTCTTAAACAGAATCGCCAGTTCATTTGATCAGAGCGCGGGTCGGGAGATGGCGGGGAGGTCACGGTGCTTACAGCATCACGACCCGCAACTGATAATCGAAATATAATAAATATAATAAAAACTTACGTATGATTAGATTAAATTACACTTTAATTTAGTTTGACTTGTGAATTTTTATTATGTCAAAAAGTTTAAATACATTTTATACTTTTTTTATTACCAATACCATTTATTTCTGCCAGTTATTCATATTTAATTTACAAAATAAATATTTAATTTTAATATATTCCGCCCAAGTAAGGCTAGCGACGGGCAGGCGAACGGCCGTAAAAAGTTAATCCAAAACTTTAGGTTTATATAAACTGTTGCACCGACCCCACGTGAGTGGGATGAGGCCTGGGAGATAATGATGAGTTCTTCTCCACCTATTAAACAATAGCGGAAATTAACATTATTTAGTATTTTCTCAGTTCTTAACCACGTAACTGTTGACGATTATTGTTCCGTATATTTTCATAAACATATTTACTTACTTTTATTTATATCAATACTTAATTTAAAATTAGAAAATAAAGCCCTTGCCTTTACTTTCAACCCCATGTCGTGACTCAGTTACAACTATGAAGTGAATACATTTGCAATCGTGTTATGTGTGAGCCATTCGTGAACAATGCTTTGCATTAACATATTGTTTCTTTAGTCCTTTGTTCCGGAATTCACCACTTCTTTACATATGTTGAAGGGTATTTCAGTACTAGTTTCCAAGTAAAAACATTAAGTCACTTTTTTAATTAATAGCTTGCGAAATTTGTAATATTCCTAATAAATAATGTATAATTTAGCCACGCCATTAGGCTATCGAATTTGGGTATTTGATGGGCTACGCCAGGCTTTAGCGAAGAGAAGAGAAGAAAACCGGAGCAAATGAGATTTCTTTCGTATCGTTAACACAGAGAGAGAGAGAGAGTGCGTGAGTCTGTTTGTTGTCTATCAAAGGAAGACTTTATCCGCACTTTATTCTCCGAGACCTGCATTCAATATAATGCATTCATACATTGGATAGCATACAAAACTCTTCTAGCAAAAGAATATCAGGAGGAGTTAACAGAGTATCAGGTAATCAAGCACCTAATCTGCACTTAAGTACCGAGGCATAATGAAGTTACCAGTATCAGTTACATCACCATACAAGAATGCCTAAATCCAGCAAAACAATTCAAATGACAGTATCACGCTTCGAGTTTTTAAATTGTTTACTGTAAAAAAAGATGAATGTAGGATACTGTCCATTATGCATTAGTTTATCGATCACAAATAATGTTTTATATTCTTTGAAACTAATCTAGATAAATACTCTTTTTTCCAAATAAAAATAATCTAAAGGTCTTTGTTACCAGGTCGAAAAAAAAATACTCTGGCATTGTATGTCAAAGTCCAAAGTCCCAAATAAGATGTGACTTAAAGGTCTATGTTACCAGGTCATAAAATTAAAAAAAAAGTCCAAAGTCAGCTGTAGTCAGCTGTCATACTGTCTACAATTTTTGTCTTGGAGGTTATCTTAATAATATAATACTGTAATAATAATATTTTATTTTTGTCGTTTAACCGATGAGGTAATTGATACATCCATAAAAAGAAATACATAAATCCAATTAAGGTAAGAGCCAGACCAACTCTTGATAATAGTTAGTAATTATATTTATGTACTACATTGTTTGAGAAGAACCATAACATAATTAATTTTATTGCAGATAATAATGCAGAATATTGTATCTTTAACACGAACACTACTGATAAGTACCATACCTAAAATTACCATTGAAAAGTCATATTTCTTCAGTACACTACAAGACTTAACTAGAAAAAAGTTTTTACAGGTTGCTAGTCCTATAATAAACCCAGTATGTGGATTTAAAGTAAAAGGGCGAGTAAGAAGGCGTTGTAAGTCATGTTACTTTGTTTTTCGAGATGAAAGGAAGTACGTTATTTGTGCTGAACACCCTCGCCACAAACAGATGGCCATGAAACCTAAACCGCACAATACCTGGATATTGACGCATGCTAGCCAAAGTCCTGTAAGACCTTGGTAGTTTCTACATTTTAGACTTTAGTAGTTAATTATGTAGATAATAAAATTTTGAAATTTGTGTTTAGTTTTTTTAGTTTAAAAATTAAATAAAATTTAAATTTTTTTAAATGTTTTGATGAAATTTCAACAAGACCACAACATTTCGTCTTACTGCCACTATTCAATAAATACTACTAAATTAAATGATCTAGTCTCTTCTTATGCACTTTAAGGATAGGATAGGGAAGTGGATTTGATAGACATAGGGATGCATAGGAAGGGAAAACATTCTCTTTCTGTGCATCTCCTCTTGTAAAAGTAAGCAATGCATTTGCCAATGACTATATGCAGAGATCATTTCTGTATTTCAGCTGATTCAGATGGCCTTTTGCCACCTTATGATAAGTAAAAAACAGTATGTAAAAGGATATTGAAAATAATACAAAAATTTAAGTCATAATTTATTGAACCAATTAACATTAAAAATAAAGAAATAAAAATCGTCTTTTAACATAAAATAGATAAATAACTCAAATAAGTAAGCAACAGAAAGACAAATATATATCATTTATAATTTTTATATATAACAGTAAACAACAATAGAGTATTTTTAGCCGCATTATAATACAATATCTATGATTTTAAACTTCTATATGCCTAACAAATTCCTATAAATTGTCATGATTAACATTAGCTGGAACAATGCTTTGTCTTGGTTAACTGCATGCTGAATTATATAATTTTTATGCTATCATCATGTCCCCATCGAGGGCCTCGAAGCCTACTGTAAGTGATTAGGCTAGGTTAGGCTAGGCTAGCTAGGTGATTATGCCATAGTTAACCACGCTACCCAAGTGCGGGTTGGTTCACTTCACACATATCTTTGAATTTCTCCTCAGATATGTGCTGGTTGCATCACGATGTTTTCCTTCACCGTAAGAACGTCGGATAAATGTACATATGTAAATCGAAAAACACATTGGTACATGGGATTCGAACCCAGGACCTGCAGATTGCAAGTCAAATGCTTGACCCCTGAGTCACCGACGTTATACTATATAAAAATATAATTATATAAAAGTCATAATGACAAAAATAGTTGTTGAGACAACTTTGTAAATATATATAATGTTATTGCTACATTTCTAATCCACTGATTAGATAGCCGCTATAAAAAAATTACTATATATTTCGTAACCTACTTTTGTGGATACATGTTAAAATTAAAAAACTACTATACCACATTGACCAAATCATTTGTTCTGGGTATTTGACAACAGTTAGCTATGCATAGTTTAGTACAATATATTCTCTTTTTTGCCTTACATGCCAAACCAACATGTCACTCAAAATTTAAAGTAACTTTCAATTTCTTGGTGTTTTTCGAGTTCTTTTTGTTACTGTAGTGGTTCCATACATTAGTCATGTTGTCTCGTTTTCATTTTTTATGAGTAGGGCCTTAAAAAAATACACAACATTTATAAAATAATTTCAATAAAATACTTGTTCACAATACATTAACAATTATTATATTACCTGTATGATTTAATGAAATTTTACTAATATAGTGTAATGTAGTATAAACAATATAAAGTTTATCGTTATGTTTCCTCATTTCAAAGTACGACTAAATGAACACTAACTAGGGTTTAATTTGTCATTTATTACTTAGCTCATACCTTATGTGGGCCTTAGCTTGAAAGGAAGTTTTAATTGACTACCACAATATTGTTTTGAATATTTACCATAAATCAGAAAAAAATTTTTTGTTTTGTTTATAGCAAAATAAAATCATGTTGGCATTAAGTTTCCACTTTCATAACAGTTGTAAAAAAATGAGTTTGATTTACTTTCATTTATCCCTGTTTTTCAAATTCTCCCAGTCTCTTTTGAGCACCAGAAATTGTTTTTATACAAGCATAAGGAAATGAAAATTAATGATTATGTAGAATGAGGAAATAAATGAGAGATGACTGAGTGTAATGAAATAGATTTATTTTTTTAACACAACAATATTAGATTGGTATTGGTTACATATTATTATTATTTATATTAAAATAAACATATAATAATACATTTTATTTTATATAAGCATCTATTTTTATAGAGCCTATATTTATGGATTCTCCGTTTCAAGGAAATCACTTGATGATTCTTGTTCCCCCAATGTAATAACACTGAAATTATGACATAAAAGTTATTGATAAATATCATAAGCTTACAACAAATAAACCCAGAGTTACTTTTTGTCTAATGTGTAGTCATACTTTCTATCTTTTTTAAGATATGGTATGTTATGTTTTAAATCCTTAACACATACCTTAAATTACGGACCATCTCGGAAAAGGAATCTTCGTCTGTAGAGTTGTCATTAATAATTTCAACGCTTGTATCAACCTCTTCATCCCTTTCTGAATCTTCTATAACTTGAATATCAGTAGGAGAGGACACATTGTCTATACTGCTACTGATAACAATACCGGCAATGCCTGCAAATTTGCTTTAATTTAAATTACTTCATAGCATTATTAATAATAAGTGGCAACATTTTTAAATATTATTAATCTCATTTCATTTGAACCTTTCACTCAATGCAATTGTAATTGCAAAATTAAATGCAATAACATTGGAAAGCATACTGCAAATGTTAGATTGAGTATTGGGTTTAGACACCATATATTACATATCTAATGCATGGCAGTGCTTTTATCTAAAACATGTGTTATTTTCAAGTTAATAATATCATTTTTAACCGAAAGTGACTTAAAGATATCAATACAAACCTTTAGCAGGCAAGAATGGTGTGTCGCGTCGTATTTTGCGAGTTTTTGTTTGGTCACTAACACGCACCTGAATATTTTTCTCAAAATCTATCCGATACAAGTTTCCAGCTAATAGTAGAGACCCTTCTTTTTCTCCTTTGCTGTACAATTCTTCTAAATAACTATTGCTACGTTTATCATATTTCCACCAACCTAAAATAAAATGTTCCATGAAAATTAAAGTCAGAAGTTTCACTTTTTCTACCAAGGATAAAACCAACAAAAACAATATTTTCAGTAAAATATAGGCACACAGATTAACTAGTAAATCCATAACATTATTATTAAAAATGGATAGTATAAAAAATACCATTTCCTCCTTCATAGTACCATTGATAGTCCTCATTGCGATTTTCTTCTGTATTTTTGTCTTGTGACAGTAAAACTGGATTATTTAAGTAATCATTTGGAATGGCATTACGGCACATGGCACAAGTCTTGTTTTGCAGAGCTATACCCTGGTGATTGACATAATTTTATTAAATACCCTTGGGAATATAATCAATACTAAAAAAAAATAAAAAAAGTAGTTTAATTATTAGTGTTCAAATATTTTATTACTTTTCAGTATTTTTTATTTTCTTATCATTTACTAAAAGCTATTTATTTGAGTTTTTGCCATGTTCAATAGGTTTAGATATGCTTAACATAATGACTTATGGGAATGAATGAAAAGGCACTAAAGAGTATAAAGAAAATGTGATCTGTTTTAGTAAATATTAAAATCAAAGTGCCCATCTTACCTTGGTACAAAGAAAGCAAAAAATATGCCCACAGGGAAGTTTAGTCGGGTGATCGTACTTTTGTAAACAAACCGCACAATATTGTTCTGAAAAAAAAGCGGAAAATGGGATTTACAATATAATATTTACTATATAGGTCAAGATTAATTTTTATATTAGTATTTTTATTTAACTGTAAAGAACTTCAATTACTTTCACTATTGTTTTATGTGACTTGGTTAGTGACTTATTTATCTTCTAAAACTTACCTTGAAACTCTGGTTGAACGTCTGCCATTATTATTTATTAGCACTATATTTTGTTTGGTAATCAATTTTTTTTAATTAAATAACAATCTGTCAAAGTCAAAATACACGACGAAAAATATTATACAAATTGGTATGAAACAATGGAGAACGGAAGAGAGAAGAGTAATAATTTGACATTGATAGTTGACAGTGACTTAATCAACCATAGCTGAATACTAGTACAGATTATAAAAAAATATGTTTGGGACTTTGGAAAAAGGTGCATTCATTCACTGACTTGTATATGGTTCGGTAAAATTAATAGCAGGAACAGTAACAATAGGTGTGTTTAAGTCCAAGAGCTGTAATTTCCCCATTTTACATCAAAAATAAGGGGCTTCAGTGATCTCTTTTCTAGTCATGAATCACCTAACTTGATGACCTAAAGATCAGCTTACGACCTTATTTGTGAAGCAGATCACTTTTATTAGTATCTGCATCGTGTTATGATATGCGTTTCAAGTCGCGAGCGCATGATCGGTCGCTCTGCTACTCGGCAGCGCAGCTACTTATGACTTTACGACCGCAACAAAGGGGTTTGATTGGGGGGGGACCTAAAACATGAATATCTGCTTATCCATTCGAAGGTCTGAGCGACTACAGCCGCCCAAAAAATACTTTCGTTTGAACATTCAGATTGGCTAGACAACATGAATCGATAAAATGTGTTTAAATGCGTGACATATCCAGTCAGTCACTTCCATACATTTTTGTCTTTTCGATAAATAAAATCTCACATCGATACTGTCTAGTCCCTAGACGAACATAGCAGGACTGTCTCACATAACCCTATTAATCCTCCAAAAACTACTATTGACTAAGAGGACTACCATGCTAAACTACTATTACCCATAATTATCATCCTTAAATTTTTGGAAGGTCTCCTAAAGACTAGAAACTGAAAGAAGTTGTAGTTTTTTATGTTGCTTATTAGTCTCTATGACTGTGTATACAAGAAATTATTATCTAGACTTACAGGAAAAGGAGGGAAATACATTCAGACCTAAACAGTAAAAAGAAAATGTAAATCTTTATTGAACATTTAATCCCCTTTTTATAAAATCAATTACATATTGTAATGTGGAATGCAGTGCTAAGTAAAAGTTATTATTATTTTGACTTATCTAATTCAATTAAGTAAAAAAACCTCATGTTTACTTGTCTCTTACTGTAATTAGATCATCAAGATTCAATGCTACACATATTTCTTTTGAATCGGTTCGAGGATTGCGGTCCAAGATTTCTGTGATTGGATAGTAATTTTCGCGGTTGTCAACATTCCATCCAGAGTACTGCAAATTTAAGTAATCATTAAAAATAGCGTTGTCAAATTTTAAGAATTAAAAAACAATAATAGCAATAACTGTTGAACTTACCACACATGTGCATTTGTGAAGAATTTTTCCATTTGATTCCATAGGTATAAACTTTTGCAATAATGCTTTTCCGTCAATTTTCCACAAATTTAATTCATCAAGTTTTGAAACTACCGTGTCACCATCCCATTTAACATCAGATTTCAGCAAGACAAAATTTCCAGACTAAAATAATAATAAATCAAATTAGTTTCATATTAAAAAGCAGTAAATTGTCATTGAAAAAAAGTTTCTGCATACATGAAAGTGCTTTGGTACATCTTTAGATTGGCTTGAGTCAGATTTGTTTCCATCAGAACCATTCTTTTCTTCATCTGAACCCTCTTCTTCATCTAAATCACCTTCTTCATCTTCCGCTTCCTCATCTTCCTCACCTTCCCCTTCACTCTCTTCTGATGTCGAATTTTTACGTTTCTTTTTTGAATTATTCACTGCAGCTCGTGAAGTTCTTTTGCGTCCACCACGGGTAGATTGTTCATTCTGTAAAAATAAAATTACATTATTTATATTTGTATCAGTTATTTATTTTTAACTGCTTTGCATAGAAATGCTTTTTGTATAACTTATAAATACTCTTAAAAATTGTGTGGTTAATATAAGACCAAATAATGCACTGATCATGATATAACATGCAAATTAATTCACAGAAAGCACAATAAACAGATCAATAATGTACATCGGAAACGGAAAAAGGGTACAACATGTATTTGTATTGAAATAATAATGTAATCAATAACAAGGTTCTGTGCAATTTTCAATAGTAAATGAATGTATTAGGTCGAAGAAATTAACTGATGACTAATATACGATGACGCTGTTATGGAAATACGAAATAGTGACCGACAAATGTAAAGTAATGTAAGAGTAAGGAAACAAATATGACGCCGATACTGAAACCTAACCTTATTCACGTGAAAAAATTGAAGATAAATTTGAATGTATGGGTCTACGTTGCATGGTTATTTAAAAATTCACAATATTATATGTATATGTATTCCTAATAGCTTTACATTATAATTAGAGTAGTAATAGACATCTACTTTACCGAATCTGCATCCGGTGTCCAATCTTCACCAGAATCTTGAAATTCTTCGGGTTCACCGCCTTGCTCTGATCCATCGGAATCATCATCAGCTTTTTTGAGTGACTTTCGTTTACGCATGATTAATGTTGGAATCAGATATGTTCAGGAGTATAAATAAAGGTGCTAAAATTATCTTCAGCAAAAGACGTAAACGGACGCTTTTCTTGTTGCAGGTAGAAACCAAAGACAACCATCACCAACCAGTTGATTGCCAGATTTTCTATTTTCTACCATAAATCTGAAGAATGTTTGAAAATAACAATAATTAAACTAAAAATAAAAAGATAAAATTCAACAATTTTTACTTCTTTTCTTAAATAAGCCCAAAAAATTTTGCAGCTGATCATAAAATTTGTCGTCTGTCGTTGATTAAAAAATCTCAATTCTCAATGTTGTCATATCAGCTGATTGCGTCACTGCGTCATTAAAACAATAACGCAAAAACAAAAAACAAGTCGCAGTTCTGATTCAGCTCCGTCAATTTGGAAATTATAGCGTGAATTTTACCCAACAATGAAGTTCCAATACAAAGAAGAACATTCTTTCGAGAAGAGGAAGACTGAGGGTGAGAAAATACGCAGGAAATATCCGGATCGTGTTCCAGTAATTGTAGAGAAAGCGCCGAAGGCCAGACTGGGAGACCTCGACAAAAAGAAGTATTTGGTACCATCTGATCTCACGGTTGGACAGTTTTATTTTTTGATCAGGAAACGTATTCACCTTCGCCCGGAGGACGCGCTTTTCTTTTTCGTTAACAACGTCATTCCTCCTACATCTGCTACAATGGGCTCACTCTATCAAGAGCATCACGATGAAGACTTTTTCTTGTACATTGCATTTTCCGATGAAAATGTTTATGGTTATTAACTAATATCTTTACAATTTTAAACCCATTTATCAACGTCATTCGTGAATATGTCTGCATATGGCGACTAGGATTAAGGCTTAGCAATATTAATGTATTATGTTGTAATGGTGATATTTGATTTTTTTGCAGTTTCCACTTTCATTTCCATTTTTAATGCAAAGTTGTTATATTTTTAGAAATATCACTAATGTGGGCAAAAACATTGTTTCGATTTCTTTGTTTGATTAAGAGTGTAATAATTTCTGTAACAAAACAATAAAGCTATGCAAAAAGGATATCAAGTTTTACTAATCAACCTTTAGTAGGTAACTAATGATAATTTACTATCAAGAGTTGTCATGTATTGCATGAAAAACAGAGAACTAACAATAAAGATCAAAGGATATGTTTTCATCCATTAATACAATATCATGATTTTAAAGCTATTGTGAGATATTTAGGCAATATTGTCTTTGCCATCACTCATAATATTGTTAAATATAAAAATCTACTCAACTATCATAAAAGAAGCCACTTTGTAGGGGCTACTGTAATATCTTGTTAGTTTTACCTTTGTTTACCACTACTAAAGTATTACTCATCCCTCTAATTAACTTTTAAAAAAATAGATATAACAATAGTGGTTGTTGCCCGCGACTTCATTTGCATGGATATATAAAAAACTTAATTAGTGTAGGCCACCCATCCACATCACATCCATCTAAACATTCGCATTTACAATATTAGTAAGTTAAATAAAAAGAAGCTCTTCAAGGTATAAATTCGAAAAAAAATGAATAAATAGTATCCTATGTCCGTCTCCTGTCTTTAAGCTACCTCCTCACCAATTTTCAGCCATATTGGTAAAGCCGTTCTTGAGTTATAAATAGTGTAACTAAAACGACTTTCTTTTATATATATAGATTAAGTCCCATTCCACGCATAAGTATCATTGTGCCTCACCACCACCACTCTCTCTTGTCTATCAGTATTAATGAGAAAATATAATGTTCACATGTTCCACTTGGAACTGTTCAATGGCTATTGAGAAATCAACTTAGTTGTGCCCTTATCTTTCCCCCCAACTCCAATCCTTAATTATAGTATTCTTGCAGAAAGTTTAACCATTTAGTCAAAGCCCTATTGTACTAGCTATCATTAAAAGAAAAAATCCTAACTAAGAAAACCTCTATTCAATAACAAGCCATGAAGATGCAGACAGTTAAAGGCAATTTTGTTCCACAAGAAACCAGAAAAACAAATTGTACAGTCACCTGTATATATATATATATATATATATATATATATATATATATGTATATATGTATTTGTCAATAACATATCCATGGTCAAAAGCATGGTGACAGATATGTACATAAATATTTATATTTAAAGAGTATACAAATAAGAGCTATCTATAAATGTATGTATGCTTCCATTGTTTTTTTTTTCTACTTTCTGGAGTACTGTAGAAGTAATATAAATTTTTTCTATACTGAAACAATGAAAAAAATTAGTAGATAACAAACAAGTTCTTTGTTCCATATTTTCGATTACATTGTATGAATAGATAGGTAAGTACTTTATTATGTTTTATCCTTCAGACTTCTATTTGCTTTGTATGGCATTGTTCAAAAAAACCTTAAATAGATGAAGATATATTTTTTAATATTTTTCTCAGAAGTAGAAACAAACTGTTAGTGCGATGACCTTTCGATGAAATCGTTACCTAAATGCATAATACGATTGTGGATTAAGTATGCGGCACACATAAACTGTATAAGTGTAGTGAAGGCAAGCACCATTTACCTTATTTTGGAAAGACACATACAAACAATTGCTATCTCTGTTTTATTTAAACAGATTGTGAGGATGACAATATTTTTACACACGTTTCGGCAGTGTGAACTCTATATTTCCTCGGATATCTTACTAATATTATAAATGCGAATGTTTTGTTGGACAGATGCATGGCTGCATGAATCTTGGTGAAATTTGGCATAGATGTACAACACAGTCTGGAAGAACAAATAGGGTACAATTAAGTTTTTTTTTAATCCCGCGCGGACGGACTCGCGGACCACTAGGTATAGAATAAACATTGTTTTTAACGGATGAATAAAACACATGTTGTTGGAATAAATTTATTAGGAATAAAATACTAATGTTTGGAAATGTTCTTACACTAGTACCACAAAGATTAAAATGTCGGTGATGTTACAGAATACGAGATGAATAATTAATGTCTAATTAATATAAGATGCCTTGAGTGGCTAAAACATTTAAACTATTTCTTCTAAACACTATTGAATATATGTATGTTTAACCTATTCCATTGAGTCATACTATTTACGTAAAGGAGACATTGAACTAATCCTAATGCCAGTTATACACATCAATATTCTTATAAAACAATCACATACTCTTACAATCATAAAATTATTAAAATTATTCAGCCACATCACACTAATGATGTAAAATATTTATGAGCAACATAAAGTGTAGAAAATGTTGACAATAAACATAATTTTTCCAAAGTTATAAAAATGCTTTTTTAAATCGAACCAATTTTATAACTTATTAGTGAAATGTTTAAAGTAAATAGGTTTATATTAAAAAAAAGTAACAATGAATATCTATTTAGAACCTCATGTAATGAGACCTACGTGGCGGTCGGCCTCTAGGCCTTAGGCCGCGCCCGCGCGCTCCGCTCTCACTGTCTGCAACAAAAACATTAACATCGCTCATGTACCAAATCCTTGACATGTTCCAAATTATTCTGCAGACTTTATACAAAATGTACAAATGTTTCTTATATGTAGTTTTTTTATATTCATAACAAAAACAAAACATTAAGAAATAGAGTACCAACTTTTGACGTAGACTGTGATTTAATAAATCCTAAAGAACACACATTTGTACTTTATCAGATGCCATAAATAGCCGTGATAAGAAGGTACGTAAAAATACTTAATTCTTAGCACACATTATATTTGTTAAAAAACATACCAAGATAGTTGAAATAAATGGGTTGAGTGCAAGTTGTTAAAATATAAGGTTGAAAGAATGTTCATTATGAAATAATGGAAGTACATATCGGGCGATGCACCACTAAAATTTGTTACAGATTGCGGTCGGTTAGTGTGGGCCGTTTATTAATATAAAACTGGTTTTATTTCCTAAAGGTGTGGCGATGAACTTTGTAATATTCTCGATGTTGGAAATAATCACATTATATCTGCATTACACATTGGCGCTCTTGGTACCGTTCTGTGGGTGTTTTGTCACTCCGTAAAATTGTTTAGAGCAGAGATTACCATTTTTTTGTCTTTGGTAATCCATGGTGCTAAGTTTCTACTTTTTTCCCATTTCCAAAACATGTGGAGTTATGGTTAAGATTAGATCTAATAAGGGAAAAATAGAAAGATAAGCATTACATTTCGTTGAGTAAGGCTTTATTCACTGCTAATGCAGACTCCTGATGGGTTTTCAGTGAAGACCATGGTGACAGTTTTGAGAGACATAGTATAGTGAATGTACCTGCGGCACGCATCCAGCGCTGGTGCGGGGAGTGCACGGCGGGTGAGTGCGCGGGGCGGCGCGTGCCGAGGACGGGCGCGGGCGAGCTGGCCTCCGCCTCGCGTCCCTCCTCCGCTATCTGTGGCGGCTACCATCACAATACCATACAACTATTAATGTATACATTTTTTATGGAACCAAACGAGGAAGTAGTGTACAATAAGACGAGAATTATGCATTATCTCACAAAGTAAATATGGGCTTAAGGCTAAAAAATTCCATTCTTAAAAGTGTAGTGCAGGGCAAGTGACCTGTTGCGGCGAGGAGGGCTCGCTGCCCTGCGAGCTGACGGCCGCCGCCTCCTCCTCCGCGCGCGACTCCTCCCACTGCGACTCCGTGCCTTCGGAACCTAACAACAGAAATACCTTTATATCAGAAAAAATCGACTTCTGTTACTTCAATGTAGCACTGGATTATTAATTCGTAGAAGACTTTTAATACTTTTTAAAAACTTATATATTTTTTTGCATCTAAAGCATTTGCAACTTGATAAAATACACAAACGATTATTAATTGATGTGTGTGTGTGTTTGTGTGTGTGTGTACTGACGTCGGTCGGTGTGCGAGCGGGCGGTGTGGGGCTGGGGGGCGTGTGCGGCGTGTGGCGGGGGCAGGGCGGCGGCGAGGTCCGCGTGCGTGTCGTGGTGCGAGGCGGCGCCCTCCGCGAACGTGAAGCGCGCGCCGCCCGCCGCCTCCGCGTCCCCGCCCGCGCCCAGCGGCGACACTACCGCCTCACCAAACCTGCATTAAACAATTAAACTTACTTATATGGTGGTAAAATTCTGAATGGACCAAACTTGATTTTCAATCAATTTCCATTCTACATTTCGTACTTTTCTACTTTCGTATATTATTAATTAATTAGAGTAAGTACAAGTGATATAATTTTGAACATTTTATAAACTATAATACAAAGCATTTTAGGTTTTTAGGAACGTAGGATATTTAGCAAGGCAGCGACAGATTACCCGTCGTTTCGCCTGGGCACGTAGAGCGTAGGAGTGGATGGCACGATACTGTCGTCCCCGTCGTCGCCGCCGCTCCCGCCCAGAGACAGCGCGCCGCTCGCTGCACATTAACATTCTCTTTCGTATCCACAAATACATAAACAACACATTCAAATCTAAGTTTGTTGGGGCAATAATATCGCTCTTATATGTGTGCGATATTTCCGTGTGTCTGTCGTGTGTCGGCTGGCACTCACGCTCAGTGCCGCTGCTGATGGCCTCTATCTGCGGATGGTGTGGTGCGGGCTCGCTGTCGGCTTCGCGCGCTGCGTCCGCCGCCGCGCCGCCCGCCTCGCGCCCCTCCACCTCCTCCCCGTCCTCGCCATCGTCACCCTCCTCACCCGCGCCGCCCGCCTCCGGGGACTGCGCCGGCGAATCCTAGCACATAACACATTATTATATAAGCATTTACTTACAACCCAAAGGTCACGTCTGCTTATGTTCATGTGCCAAGAATGTTCTACCACCCCCGCAAATACTTTCATTGTTCATTTTAACATACATAAATTTTAATGTGATGTTATTGTTTATTCAAAACTGGATGCTTTTCAATAATTCGCTTACTTGAGTAGCGGCGTTTTCGCCATCGTCACCTTCTGCTTCTTCCTCCTCGCCACCCTCTTCTTCTTGCTCTTCCTCCATATCCTCTTCGTCATCTTCGGCTTCCTGTACAATAAGTGTGTGTGTTGTTAGTGTAAAATTTAAAAAGTAGCCTATAATATTTCCACAATACAAAGCTGCTCCTGCCAATTCCAGTCATGGATAACTTCTATGATGTTACTGAAGCAGCAAAACTATAACAATTATGGACGACAAATAAAGGATCATATACCCTGTACATGGTGCCGGTGCATCGCTCGTCATCCTCCTCAGAGTCCACCACGATCACGCCCTCGTCATCCTGGTCGCAGCGTGACGATGTCGGCACCTGGTACTCTACTTCCACTGATCTTTCGAAACCCTAAATAATTTAAACAATCGACTAAATATTTTCATAAAACGACTAGGACTATAGTAATAGTAACAAACTAGTGCAACAAAAGTGTTGCAAAATTGTATTATTAAGTGAGATAAAATAGGTAAAAAAGGGTGAGATAGGTAGGCGAATAGTTTTATGCCATATCTGAATAAAAAAAATCACATTTAAAATAGTTGCATTCTAAGAGTACACGGTGAGCAATACCTGTACGCGAGTCCTCTTCGAAGAGACCGGTCTGGCTTGCAGACGTCGCTTGGCTGGTCGAGTTTCTGTTGGGGGATGAGACGTGCTGACGCCGGGCGGAGCATTCGAGGTGCTGACGCCGGGCACCGCCTGGGATGTGCTAACGCCGGGGGCCGCATGTGACGTGCTGACGCCGGGGGCCGCGTGTGATGTGCTGACGCCGGGCACCACGTGCGAGGTGCTGACTCCGGGCGCCGTGTGCGAGGTGCTGACGCCGCTAGACGTCTGAGCCACCGCCGCCGACGTTGGCGTCGCGCTTGAGGCGCCTGTTATTTAAATTTGCATTATTTTCGTACTTCATAAGGGACACTTGAGAGAGAGCATAAATGGACACGTTTTAAGTGGTGCTATGTCGAATATAAAAGTTACCGGGCTGTGCGGCGGTAGGCGCGGGGGTGGCGGCGGCGCTGGGCGCGGGCGAGCTGCCGGCGGCGCTGGCTGTGGTCGCACCGCTCGCGCCGCTCGGCACCTCGATGCGAGGCATTACTAACGCCACCGCCTACATACATAAGAACAATACGTTTTTTTTTAATAACTATTCTTCTTAAGATAATCATTTTTATAATTGCATAAAAATGAGACATACTTGCTGCGGCGCCTGGGAATGTGAAGAAGACTGAGCATTGTTGTCACTAGATCCGGAGCTTCCCATACCAGCCTCGCTCGTGTCCATGTCCTGCAAATAAGAATAGATATAACCACATCTAAATAATGAGTCTAAATAGATTAAACGTGCGGGCATATGGACTGATATAAATGATATACGTATATATAGAAATAATGGCCCAGAAATTATTAGATATCCTTTTCTTTCTTTTTACTATTTCTAAAGTAAAGTCTTATAATTATATTAGCGTAAAGCAATTGATTATAACAAAATAAAATACTTGAGTGGACTCTGGCGGTGCGGAAGCAGAAGCGGAGGTGGCGGCGACTGCGGAGGTGGCGGATGCTGATGCGGAGGCGGCGGGCGCGAGAGCAGCGCGCTGCAACGGACGCGACGAGGAGGCCGGCATATACTCGGTGGTGTGAGCGTCGTGCGGCGCGGTCGGTCCCACTTGCGCCATCGGCCGGATTGACGCCAGCGGAGTCTCGCCGCCGCGCCGGCTCGCCGTCACGCTCTGCTGCGCCACGCCTGTTTCACCCAAATATATATAACTTACTAATCGTAAAAGATAACTTTAATAATGCAACATTTCTTCAACTAAATAAAATCAATTCAAAATACATTTGTTTTAATTTTAATACATAATGTAAATAATTGTGAATAATTTACCTGCCATCGGTTTTATATTAGCTGTCGGAGGATCCGAGGTGACCTTCTCTGTCGTGGCTTGCTGTTTACCCGCGGAAGATTGATTTGCCAGTTGTCTTTGAAGCATATTCACTTTTTGGAGGAGAGCTTCGACTTCTCTTGTTTTCTCAGTTTGTACTTCAGTTTTTTCCTTTTCCAGACGAGACAGTCGACCGTCGTATTGAGATTTTAGTAAAGCTATCCGAACCTCGAGCTCCTCGCGCGTGCTTTGCTCGATCGCACCGATTTTACTTCGTAATTCATCTACCTCTCGGCTTAAGCTGTTTTTCGATTCGGTAAGCTGTACTATTTTGCTCTTTGCTTGTTTTAAAACTTGTTTCGCCTTTTCCTCCCTGTCCATATTAGCCGTGCGCAATGTTTCGAGTTCTTGCTTGAGCTTCTCGTTGCTCGCTTTTTCTCCCTGTACTTGGCCTTGGAGGTCACTCAATTGATCTTCCATTTTCTTAGAAGTCTCGGCCAACGCTACCCCCGCAGCGGCCGCTTCGCCTTCACTTTTCTTTTTATCTTCGTCCACGGTTTTAACCAGTTCTTCATATTGCCCTTTGTACTTCTTGGCAATTTTTCGAATTTGTAATTCTTTATTTCGTATATCGCTTAAAGAAGCGTCTTTGTCGTTCAAGTCTTCTAACAATTTTACATTGGTTTCCGAGAGATTATCGTGTGCTGCTTTTATTTTAGTTAGTTCCTCCGTAAGACGCGCCATATCGTCTTTAAGTGTCTGCACTTCCTCATTTAATTTCTTATTTTCTTCAACTAATTGGTTTTGTTGTCGCGATAATATAGTGTACTGTTCTTCCAATTTAGTCTTTTCAATTTTTAAAGCCCCCAATTCCTCATTGACTTTTTTAAGAGCTTCTTTTTCATTTGTCAACATTTTGGCAAGAGTTTCCCGTTCATTTTGTAGCCGTTTCCAATCTTCAGGACTTGTTTTATTTGCACGCTCAACTAAAGCATTTACTCTTGTTCTCCATCTTGCGCAGTCAGATTTTAGAGATGTGTTTTCCGACTGTAAGGTTTCATTTTTGGAGGTTAAATCAGCTACACTTTCTTGCAGTGGGTGTAGTTGCTCCTCCAAAGCTTTCGTAGCTTTAGTAAGTTCTTCTACTCTAGACGCCAATGTGTCCCTTTCTTCTCTTAGAACTCTGTTGCTATCAGTTAAAGCATCAAGGGTCTCTACTTTCCTCAAGATATCTGACTGCCTATTTACTGTCACCAAGCTAACTTCATACTTTTCTCTTTCGGCGGCAAGAGTTAATTTTGCTTCATCAAGTTGTTTTTCAGTAATTTCCAGTTGTGATCGTAGTCTCATAGTTTCTGCTTGTAAAATATCAAACTTAGCTAGGGCTATATCTTTTTCTTTTCTTAAGAATTTCACAATTCTGTACATCTGTTCAGACGATTTGGCATCATCTTCGTTAACCGACACACTCATATTTGAATCGTTGGCAGACTCATTAAGGCTTTCGGAATGTGAACGTGATGCATGGGCGACAGATAACTGTGTACCCAAAGCCTGGATCTGGTCATGTAAGACGGAATTTTGCTCACATATATCTTTAAATCTTTGTACAAGTTCTTCATTTTCTTTTGTGAGCGATTTTTGTCTTTCAAGCCATGAGGCCTTTTCTACTTCTAATTTTTCAAGTGTCTGATTCTTCAATGCAACTAATTCATTTAGTTCATTTTGAACCCTTGATAACTCTTCTTTGGTTTGAGCGAGTGTCTGAATATCAGATGAATGTAATATCATCTCATGTGTGTATTTGTCCTCAGCTTTTTGGACAGCCTCAGATAGTTTGGTGATTTCAGCTCGAGCACTTTCCAAATCTGTGCGATTTGACTCCAAATTTGATAATGCAACTGCTAACTCTTGCTTACAATTAGCTAATTCATTTTTCAAATTAATATTGATACTGGCGTACTCCCCATTGTTTTGGAGTGATAATTCAGCTTCTAGTTCTGAACATTTTTCCTCTAATTGTTGTACTTTTTGAGAATATTCAGCAAGTTTTATTTCAGTAGCAGTTTTGTAAGTGTCATATTCATCACTAAGAGATTTTATTCCCTTTTCCGCACCTTCCGAAATGTCACAGTACTGTTTTACATGCTCCTTTGCGTTATTTAATTGATCTGTGAGTGATTTAATTTCACCATCTTTATCAGATATTTTATTTTCCAATTCCTTTATTTTTTTGAGTGACTCTAATGTATTGTCTACATTAGGATCTAGGGCCTCTTTAAGTTTCCTAGCAAGTTCCTCATTTGCTTTATTTTTTTCGCTTAAGTCGTTCCTTAGAATCGTAATTTCCTTTCTCATTACATCAGCTGCTTTTTTCTCCTCTTCCATCCTCTCTTTAGCAGTTTCTGTTTGGCGTTCAAGGTGTGAAGCTAGTTCCCTGAATCTATTCTGCTCTTCTTGAAGTCTCATACGTATCGCTGAACATTCTCTTGTAGCTTCATCCAACCGCGATTCTATTTTGGTACGATTTTCTGTTTCTAAACGTTCTACACTAGCTTTAACAAGTTCCAAATTTTTAAGTAGCAGTGATTGTCCTTGCCTTTCGCGATTTAATATTTCTTTCTCAGTTTGCAATCTATGTTCAGTGTCTTTTAGTAATTTACATTCCAGTTTTAAATTTTCCAACTGTATTTCAGCTGTAGCTAATTTGTTTTGAGAATTTAATGCCTCATCTCTTAAGTGCTGTAATGACACTTCATGCTTAGCAATTGTGGCATTATATGTTTTATTTTTTTCTTCCAGTGAGCTAATTTGCTTCTTGTAAGTTGCAATATTCGTCTGCAAAATTTTAAGTCTTTCATTATTAAATTCTGCCGTAGAGGCAAATTTGCTATTTGCAGCTGTTAATTTTGATATTTCTTGTCTCATATTGTCAATTTGTTCAAATAACATCCTCTCATTTGTAACTTTTTCCTCTTTATAGGTTTTGAATTCTTCCTTTAGAAGCTCAAGTTGTTTTTCTGTTTCATTGTATTTAATTTCGAAGGCTAATGATACATCAGATTGTGAAGGTTTAGAAGTTTTTTCTGGTCTAGTCTGGTCCATCTCAAAGGAGTCTCCTTTCTCCAAATCGGAAGTGTCTAATACAGATGACAATTCATGGCGCTTACCTTTCATGTGGTCGTGATACAACTTTTTAAACATATCACGTTGTCTTATAAGACCAGTAACCATTTTCGTCTGCCTATCTTGGGCCTCAGTAAGCTCTGATATGCGAGTTTTTAAGGAATCTATTTTATTCTGCATTTCTCCAGTTTCAAACTGCTCCTTATGCTTTTCAAGCTCTTCTTGCTTGTCAGTTAGTTCACGAATCATTCGTAGAAGTTTTTGATTATTAGATTGTAATTCTTGAATATCACTGAATGTCACCAGGGTTTTAGACATAATTCGTGAGGAATTATTATCTGAAGCATTTGAGGTGTTTGATTCAGCATGGGATGCATCATGGTCACCATTTAATAACCCACCTCGACTGTGCTCAATTTCTTTTAATAAAAAGCAAACTTGTCTACCTAAATCTGCTAACTCTCCTTTTAATTTGACATTTTCTCTGTTGTAATGATTTGAAAGTCTAGATGCCTCATTGTAATCATCTCTAAGCCTATTGCATTCAATTGTTAACAATTCGATTTGCTGTGATAAAGCTGAGTTGCAATCTAAAGTCTCCTCATACTCAGCCCTTTGTTTTTGTAACATAGGTGCTCTCTCTTCCAATTCTTGAACAATGTTATTGATTGTTGTTGTAAGTCTTCTATTCTCTTCTTTCTCTCGACTTAAATCATCAGTTACTTTAACTAATTGCGAATAAATCTGTGTCAATGACATTCCAGATTTTAAAAGTTTACTTGCAGTTGCCGCAGATGGTGCCAAATCGCTAAGTGCCATATCTAAGTTCTGTGCAGCTGCTGCTTTAATTAGATCATTAGCATGTTCCAATTCATTTTTTAGTGATGATATTACCTCATTTTTCTTTTCCATTAATTCTTCATGGTCTTTTTCCGCTTGTTTATATTTTGTTTCTAATTCGCCATATTTCTCAGTAGCTTCATTCAAGAGTTTTTGTAGCTCGCTTATGCCTTCACTAAGTTCTGTGGCCTTGGCTTCAGAATCATCATGCATTGTTTTTAATAAATCAGCAAGTTTAGTTTTAGCTTCAAGTTCTGTTTTGTAATTTTCAGTTATTTTCTTTTCTATATCTCTCTGTTCCACTAATCTTTGACTAAGATTTTCGGCACGATCAGTTAGTTTCTTCTTCATTTCATTGAGTTGTTCAATGGTGTCATTAGCCGATTTCAATTCTTCAGTTTTTTTGGATAATTCTGCTTCTAAACCAACTAAACGGCTTGTATTATTTAATCTGTGTGTTTGTAATTCTGAAGTTAAACTATTAACTTCCTCAGTGAGACTAGCTATTTGAGTGTTTAATAGAACCCTTTCTTGCTCCATACGTTTTTCGCGATATTGCAAAGCTAATTCCTTACTTTGGATATCATTATTTAATGTAAGTGCTTCACATTTTGAATCAATAGCAGCACGCAGTTGTTCAGAAAGGGAAGTTTCATTAGCAATTAACATTTCTATTTTGGCATTTCGCCGTTCCAAAATATGGGTCAGGTCATTTCGTTCATCAACTGCAGCATCTCTAGCATTTTTAAGAGAAATTATTTCATTTTCCAATTGAACAATTTTTTCATTTGCTTTATTTAAATCTGCAGTTAGAGTCCCTACTTGCTTTTCAAGTTCAGCAACTGTTTCATCGGCAATTTGAAATTTTTTGGATGTTACTTCATATTTTGATTTCAATTCTAATATTGTTGCCTCTGCTGCTGTTATCTTGTCATCTGAAACATTATAACAGTAAGAGAAATTAAAATTTTACACTTATAAAGAGGAATTTTTAAAATGTTGTATGGAGAATAAACACAAAACTACAATACCAATTCTACAAATGCTTTAGAAATATATCATATTACCACTGAGATAGATTATGATTTAAAATCCAGGCAGACAAAGACTTATTCAAAGACTAGTGTAAAATAAGGATCATATATATGGCTAGAAAAAACAGATAATGGAAAGACTGAAGGATTACAATTAAATCCATGACATATTATGTCAAGCAGTGGATTCAAGCTTGACTTTTATTATATTACTGTTTAAATTTCCTGGTGTTTAACAAAATATATGTGACAAAATAGTGTCAGAAAATAATGAATGAATGTCACACTCATATTTATATAAAAAAAAAACATTTTATTCCTCTCAAGTTTTATAGAATTAATACGATATTTTTTAATTATCAGGAAAAAAATCAGGTTACATTGAATTCACATAAGAACTTAAATATGTAATCATTATTTTTTTTTACTCAAATGAATAACAAGTTAATTTTTTTAAAATTCTGTAAAAACATGACATGATCAGACACAATACTATGAGACCTTTTATTAATGAAAGCTGAAAGCTATGCCATATGGAGATGAAATGAATGGGTGCTGAGTAGGTAAATGTCATTGCAAATTTTAGGAATAGAACATGTAGAATCAATTTTACAAGCAATATATTGCATGTAAATATACACACACACTGACAGATTAATTACAATATACAAATAATTAGGTTCTTCTAGATACATTGCATTATTTTATTTCAAAACATGATCAGTACTGGCAACAGATAATGCTAATGTTTTTGTGGTAATTAAAAAAAAGCTATGTGTTTTATAAAAGAGTAACATATTTAATAATATTATTTAAATCAATATGTAGGTACATTAAACAATATTATTATGGCGGACCAAGGATATATGGAGGACCAAAACCTTAAAAATTATAATATTAAGCTGTATAATTCAGAAAGGTAAAGTATCAACATACTGATACTATTATACATACAAAAAAGGTGCCAAGGCAAGATAAACAAAAACAACCACATCAATTACTGAAGAGTGTTGGAACTGAATGCATATATTTGAATTTTCAATATTACAGCAACCAATGCTCTTCAAAAATTCGTGTTTGGTTATAACAAGACCGCAGCTTTTTTAAAGGTTATTACCATTACAATTATCATATTTTTTAACAAATGGTGGTCAAAGCAGGATTTGTGGTTTGATTTTAGGTGTATGTTTTTTCTTTCAAAATGCAAAACCTAGAAGCTTCAAAAAACAATTGATACAAGAATGATTGTTTAATATTTTTTAGTAGTTTATGCATAAAAATGTGACTAGAAAAACAGTATGTGATGAACAATGCACAGACCAATACATACAAATCTTACCCACAAAAATAATTGTTGGTGGTTATGGCTTTACAAAGAAATTACTAAAATTGACTAATAACCGTATGAACGAACACGAAAGCTTTTACAACAAAAAAGGCCGGTTTCTTACCAATTTGTGTTTTGCTGGTTTCTAGAAGAGCCTTGGAGGTCATGTATTCCTCAAATTTTGTATCAATATATGTGTTGATTTTGTTTGCGACGCCATTTGGTAAATTGGCAATCTCGGTTTCTGATAAAACATTGTTTAAGTGATTTTTATCACCGGCTTCCACACTTTCGGCATCCATCTTTGTCGCAAAACTCAAACGCGACCCATAACCAAAGAGCATATAAAAGATTGTCTATTTATAACCATAAACTGCCATTACCATACCATAAACCACATTTACTCATAAACCATCGCGCGTATTCTGCTATGACAAAAAATTACACAACATCTCGATACAACGAACGGTTGTTAAGATTTATTTAACCACGTAGCTTTTAAGCAGTCCGTGTGCACTCAGTACTGTTACCTGCTGAATTTTTAAGTTGAAGAGTGGATTTATTTATTTACTCTTCGCTAAGTAGTCTATGGAGGGATCATAGACCATCGTTTAGGTCTAATATACTCTTTGGGTTTTGACATTTGACATAATCGTAGAAATGGAATCAATGGAGGAACAACAATGTTTACATCAATGTGAAAGTTACATTCAAACCCATAATATTCAACTGCTTTTAAAAGATTGTATTGTTCAACTTTGCTTAAATAAACCTGAAAATCCAGTCACGTTTTTACGACAATATTTCCAAAAATTGGAACGGGTTAGTTGTATAAAGGTTATGATATTTTTTAATTGTGTCAATAATGAACTCATTAACAATTAGAGATGAAGAAAAATAAGGTAGTAAGTCTCGTGATATATTAGATACAAACCTTTCTTGTAACGCTTCATCAATATTAAGGAAACAATCGTGTGATTGCTAAATAAATCAATTATCCATAGTATTCATAACACGCCATTATGTCTTTGTCTAATCAAAATATTCTAAAGCAAGATTAGGTTTGATGAAATGGGACTTGTTGAGGACTTGTGAATTCTTAAATAACGGGTAATATAACATTGGGTGGTAACTAAACTTTGATAAAATAAAATAGAATGTTCCTATCTTAAAAGAAAAAAACATTATATCCAACTCATCTTACAGCAGCAAATACACTTTTTTATGTTTAAATCATTTGTTACTAGCGGCACATCTTGATTCCGCAGTGTGGTACATATGTAGGCAACCTGTAGAATCTCCCAGAACTTATAATTAGTTCTGTTTGCAACAAGAAATATTAAGATCAACAATAAAAATAAAATGTAAACATTAAAATGACTAAAATTGGTAAAATTTGGACATTATGTAGTGTGAATAAACAAATTTACATATTTTTTTACCTTTTTTATTTGTACCAAATATATATCCTTATACTATTTTGATGTGGTAGGAGCAAGTGAAGGCGGCGGCGGCGGCCGCGGCGACGTCAGAGGGCGAGGGTGATGGCGAGCTATCCCCCCTGCCTCTGCCCGCCGGACAGCCGCCGCGTCGCCGCGGGGGCATCAGCGCTGAACCCGTCACAGAGGAAGATGCAACCAGTTATGTTAAAAAGGTAATATTAAAGTATGTTATGCAATTATGGACAAAAAATTAATATTTAGAATATTAAATACATATTTCTTTTTGTTATTTTAGGTGGTGCCAAAAGACTACAAAACGATGGGCGCACTGTCGCGAGCGATCGCATCCAATGTGCTTTTCACACACCTAGACGAGTCGGAGCGAGCCGACATGTTCGACGCCATGTTCCCTGTGCAGTGTCTGCAGGGCGAGACTGTTATCCGTCAGGGTGATGAGGGTGATAACTTCTATATAATCGATTCTGGCGAAGTTGAGGTATGTGTATCTATTATTTAAAGTAATTGATTAAATTTAATGTGTTTAACAAAACTTTTAAGTCAATAACCTAAATTTAGACACAAACAAGAAAATTCTTAATGAAAGGAAAACTATGAAATAATGTGTATGGAAAATGTACATTTGTTTACAAAATTCTACCTTATTTTGCAACAAAGGTATAGCTAGTTATTGCTTACTGCAGGTGTTAGTTAACGGTGAGCTGGTGACTACAATCGGCGAGGGCGGCAGCTTCGGTGAGCTGGCGCTGATCTACGGCACGCCGCGAGCCGCTACGGTGCGCGCGCGCTCGCGCCTCAAGCTGTGGGGTCTCGACCGCGACTCCTACCGCCGCATCCTCATGGGCTCTACTATACGCAAGCGACGCATGTACGACGAGTTCCTCTCCAGAGTCTCCATTCTAGGTAAGATATAGTGTTTCATACACGACAGCAAAAGGTAACTGCAATTATACAATTGAAGATTTGTAACATTTTGTGGTCACCGTAATTCTCGCGAAGATTTGAATTAATATAATTTTGTACTTTACATCTTATTGTTTTAATATCAACTTTTTAATAATTTTCAGAGAGCTTAGAGAAATGGGAACGATTGACGGTGGCGGATGCACTGGAGCCAGTTTCATTCAATGACGAGGAAACTATAGTTCGGCAGGGTGAGCCCGGGAACGACTTTTACATCATTGTCGAAGGTCAGTTCTCTAATTGTTTTAAATATATTTGCAACAAAAATGTTATAACAAATATTTTAATCCCGAATCTGAGATCCTTATAGTTATAGTGTGTTGTGTGCAGGTACTGCGGTGGTTCTGCAGCAGCGCGGGCTGGGTGAGGGCGGGGGTGAGGGTGCCGGGGAGGCGGTGGAGGTGGGGCGGCTAGGGCCGTCCGACTACTTCGGAGAGATCGCGCTGCTGCTGGACCGGCCGCGCGCTGCCACCGTGCGCGCCGCCGGCAGCCTTAAGTGCGTCAAGCTCGACCGCGCCAGGTACGCCCACACACAACACTAACGTTATTTATTATGTAACCACACCTAACCTAACCTATGTTAGTGGGACTGCAACCATGTAACTTTTGCTAATTAATCGATTTAGTTATTAATTATTTATACTATTTTTAATATATTATTTGTTTTTGTTATAGATTCGAAAGGGTATTGGGGCTGTGCGCTGACATTTTGAAACGTAACATCGCCCAGTACAACAGCTTCGTGTCGCTATCCGTATAATAAATTGGGGTTTTTATTGATCACTAATAAATGAATTGCAATAAGCTGAAAAAACGCTCAAATTTATCGCAGTTAAATGTTAAGGCATATGTTTTTATGCAGAATCGTTAATGCACTTTTGTTTGTGAAAACTTCCTTAGATGACTTAATTATTTATTTTATTTCTAATTTTATTGGAGGCATAAACATAATTAACTTTTATTTGTTGTTAATACTATTTATTTACTAATTTTCATTTTAAGTGTGTCTGTTTTATTGTGTAAATTTAAATAAATATTGTAAATGTTAATGACTAAACAAGCAGTGCTTAAATATTTTATATGTTTTAATATTTTAAGTCGAAAAATGTAGATAAAATGATACCGTATTAAAGCTTTTGTCCTGTAATAAAAATATTCTAACAAATAAAATGCAATTTTTGCAAATGTATACAGACAACAACATTTAAAATTATATTTCTTAATCTTAGTAGCATTGTGAATCAGTAACAAGACAAAGACTTGATTATTTACCTACATGTTCTTGTATATCTTACGCTAAGATTCTTTACTTGGCTACATTTCTGTCTACTCTTTTGGTATTAGATCGTCATACAAAGAAAATCTGTAACTGGGAACAGTAATCGAAATCATTGGTTTGGATTTTTTTAAACAAAGTTCAACACAAAACAATTTCAACTTAATTATTAAAAAAAAAACTATGAAAATAAAAATCAGTCATACTAAAAATTATTCCGTCCACGTTATGAAATCATTAAATAATAATTTAATGATAAATCAATAAAATACGAGAAACAAAAGGATTTTATCCATAATATACCAGATTATTAAAAAAAACAACCACAAATTTCTCACTTTCTCAAATTATTTAGAAATTTTGGATGATATATATTGTTGGCCTCTGTTATGTTGTGAAAACTGATAAATGCATGATCTCATATTGGGCATATTGATTAAAAAACAAAATTTAACTCGTGTGTATTGCGTTTTCGGTACAAACTAGTTTCGGACCCGTCAGGATCAGGGGTCCTTCTTCAGTTACTTAAATTTTAATTCACTTGAGGAAAGAACCCCAATGGGTCTGAAACTACTCGGTACCTGAACAAGACTATACACTTGAGCTAAGACGTGGTTTTTAATTACAATGTATTATATGATAATGTCTAACGAGTTTTACTAGGCATAATGATAATTACCTGAATAGAACAATATGTTGTCCTTAAGGGAATGTCAGTGTAAGATATACTGCATCATAATAATTTATTGAATAAGGGATAACGCCAACTCGTTAACTAATTACCCACCCGGAATACGACAAGTGTGACACTATTATGATTCATTTTGTCTACATTTTCCCTTTTTTTGTTTTGTAAATAAATGAATGTTAATCTTCTAAACAATTTTGTTTTACAAACCCTACTACCTACCTTGATTCATTCCTTCTAAAAGTGTCTTGCTACACTACTCAACATTACAAAGCTACATATATTATATATCTGAAGTAAGTCATTAGGTAATTACACAAAACTAATTTTGTATAATAGATATAGAATCAGTAAATTAAAAAAAAATGTTTACAATAATATAATTTTGTGGTTATGGGATTGTGTGGAGGGCAAGTGAAATTTGAATAGTGAAGCTCTTCTTGTCTGACAACAACCTTCTTCTTACCTTTGTTGTATTTTCAGAAAAACGAAAGTTAAATAAAAAATAATAATATATTTTTTTTCAATTTGATTACATTTGAATAATTGTCCATAAACAGATTTAAGTTTAACCGAACTTATTTCATTTGAATTATTTGTTGTGTAGCTAATTTAGTTAGACCATGAAAATCTTCATGTATGTGAGATCTCCAAAACTTACATTTACCCCATACTAGAGCTGGAAAATTTGGTGATGATATTCCTTGAAATATTCTAGCTATACTTCTTCCTGTAAATTTGCAATCTTTATAAATAGCTATCAATGCGCGTATGTCACTAACAGCGTTATCAATGTCTATTGGTCGTTTGGGCAATTCAATGTTTGTTGGGAGGTCATTTTCTCTTGCAAAATAATGTCTTATGATAGACTTTAATTCATTTGATTTTTCTTGTAAAGTTTCTTCAGAGAAATTACTATTTTCTACAGAGTAATTACAGATCTGGCGAAATGCTTTATCAATTTCTTCAAGTTGGTATAAACTTGTTTCTTCTTGATTTTGGACAGATTTGTGTAAGTCATCTAAAATATTGTCAAGTTCCGCTGCCGATAGGTCACCTTGAGCTTTTATTCTAAAACCTAGAGTATTGAATTCAACTTTAAGTTCAGATCTTTTTGTTAGGCCATCAATTGTTTTCCATTCCAAATTTTTTAATTGATATTTAGTCATGCCACTTTCCCAACCGATAGCGGCAGCAGCTTCTATAACATTAAACTCTAAAACATTACTCTTTGTTATATTTGGATCCTTTTTACTTTCAATGAGATAAGCCATTGCAAGAGGAGGACAAGTTTTTGCTGCTTCTAATATTTTTTGTGGACCACCATATGACATTATTTTACACATAGTATACGCATTATTTAATACTTTTATATAATGTTTGGGGTGCAACTCGACATAACATAATAATGTTGCAATGTTCTCTGAAGGCATATCTAACTCTTCAACAGTGCTATCAATTGGTATTCCAACTTCATGGCCTTTACATCTTGAGTTGGTTGCTTTAGGACATTGACATGATACAAAAACTTTTTGGAGTAATCGTCTAATTACAGGCCTATCCACTGAATTTGCATAAATATGTTTTAATAATTCATTTTTATCATTGCTACTGTTGTTAATAAACACATGGCAAAAAGCTGGCAACCCATCTCGCCCTGCTCTGCCAACTTCTTGTACATAAGATTCAAAACTAGCCGGCATGTTGTAATGAATAATGCATCTTATATTTGATTTGTTTATACCCATACCAAAAGCAACTGTGGCAACAATAATTTTCAAAGTTCCATCCATGAAATGTTTTTGAATTTTCTTCCGTTGTGCAGCTGTCATGCCTGCATGATACGCTTCAGCAATGTATGACATCCTTTTTCTTTTCTTACTAGCCTTCTCCATATTAATTTTTCCAGGTTGAGATAAACAGGAGCGTAAAACTGCTGCAACCCTTTCACATTCATTTCTTCTTATGCAATATACAATTATTGAATTAAAATCAATTATTTTGTCAGAATTAAGAAATGTTACAAGTGCCCTGTCCTTATCTTTTTCAAAGGATGTAGACAGATGAAGATTATCTGGGAGAGAAGGGTTTTCCACAACACCATTTACACCATCAGGGATATGAATGTGGTCTATAACACTTTTAATAGTAGACTGACTGGCAGTTGCTGTTAACCCAAGAATACATTTAACATTTAACTTTTCTCTTAAAATACGACAAATCATTAAATAACTAGGTCTGAAGTTGTGGCTCCATTGTGAAACGCAGTGAGCTTCATCAATACACGCAAATGCTATTTTTGGTAATGATTTAAAAAGACCTGCAAAACCATTAGATGAGTCTCCAGATATCAATGCTTCTGGTGATATAAGAAGAATATTTATTTCGCCCTTTTTTAATAATTCCGTGATCTTACGCCTTTGCGTTGGTGGTTGATTTGTATGCAAGCATCCTGCTTTAAGGAAATCAGGCATACTTAATACTTGATCTTCCATTAATGACACAAGTGGTGATATAACCAAAGTGATGCATTTGTAATGTTGACTATAAATATAAGCAGGTAACTGGTAGCACAGGGATTTTCCACTTCCTGTTGACAAAATTAGTAATGTTGACTTGCCACATAAGATCCGCATAATTGCTTGTTCTTGCCCTGGACGAAATGATTGATGACCAAACATCTGCAGAGATTTATACAGCTCCTCAGTTGCCATACATTCTTCTGTTAATATAGGATGAATATTGTTATTTGATTCTGTTATGGGTGTCTCTTTTAATAATTTTATAAAATCATCTGGAATCTGACTAGATGAATATACACAAGTGCTCAATTCCTCCTCTATTGTTTCTTCACAAGTACCCTCTTTTTGAACAATTTTCTTCATATCTTCTAAAGTGGGTATTACATCATCAGAACTATTTTCTAATGGCAAAAGAGAGCTTTCTTTGTGAGCTCTGCAATATCTAGCCATGTGGCCTGTATTACCGCATTTGAAGCAAGTTACTTTTCCAGATTCTGGGAATTCCATTCCAGCATGCAAAGCTTTTTTATCTTTCCATTGTTTCTTTTTGTATTTAGAATAATTAAAATTTTTACGTCCTCTGACAAAAACTTTTTTTTCTATATTTATCTTAACAAAGTTATCATTAATTGTTCCGCTCAAAATTTTTGACTCCAATTTATCAAAGGCCTTTTCAGCATTATTTGTGGATGTTTCTTGAGGTGGTTTTATTGCATCTAAAAGTTCATGTACTTTAGTTGCTAGAGGCATAACTTCTTGGTCCATACCAAATGGCAAAAATTCTCTTATATCAGGTGGGCTTTCCTCAATGCCGTGAGTTTCTTGAGGTAATGTTTTCTTAATATTTTTAGCTCTTTGTCTACTAACATTCTTTTTCTCTACATTAAAATCTAATTCATTAATCTCAGTATGTTCTTTATGCCTGTCATTTAAGTCAGCCGTACTGTCACAATTTTCTGTTTTTCTCTTTTTAAGGGCAGGCTTAAGTTTTTTAATTACGTCTTCCTCTTCAGATTCACTATTTTCTATAAAGTCACAAGTTTTTTCAGTGGTGTTAGACAATGATATATTGCTTAAACCAAATTTTTCTACTACAGAAGTTTCTTTCGGAACTTTGTTTTCTACCATACTAAACTCATTATTTAGCCCACTAGCTCTTTCCAACCATTCTGTATTGATTTGACGTATTGAAGTGGTTTTTAAGTTATCAATGGAAACATTACCTGTGAAATGTATATTACCTTGATATTTCTTATTGACAGTTTTAGCCTCTATAGCAGAATTATTTTGTAAAATATCACAAGAGTCAGAATATTTTAATGCATCACTATCTATTATTTTACTATCACATATATCACTAAATAAATTTTCCTTATTGTTTCTAGATACTTCATTATCATCAAGCGGCTGCGACTGAGATTTCACTTGACAAAACTTCCTAGGATTTCTTATTGAAAACTTTCTATTCTGAAATAATTTTTTAGAAAGATTTTCGATAAATGGGCTTTGAGATGTTACAGCTTTCTGCGATTTCGAAGCCGTCAACAACTGCTCGATTTCTTGACCGCTCGGAAGAGCCGGCAACAGCAGTTCTTGATCAACAGGTCTAACTTCTGTCACAAAGTCAAGGTGTTTAATTTCAGGAGATCCAATTTCGTCTGTTTCAACTTCACAAATAGATAACGAATTTTCAAGTGCCTCGCTTTTTAAGTGAAAGTACTTTTTATATGCATATTTTATATTAGACGGTGCTTCCTTGATATCAAATTTGGAGGGAGTTCGTGCATGTTTAAGTTTAAAGTCTCTTTCCCATTTTTTCACTATTAATTTACATTTTATGTATGCTTTATCCGTGTTAATACTTTCGACTATATCCATCCTAAACAAAAATAGTTTATAATTCGATTATTTAATGATTTAAGAGCAAATTGCACAGCGCCGTTAAAAATCTCGCTTGACATTGACATCTATATTATTAACATTTGACGTTATATTTTGTCCTCCTTTGGGGCTGGGGTCTTGGCGCCTTTACCTTTTACGAGACAAGAACAATCGCGCAAATATCTCTTTTTTTTGTTAAATAAATATAGATAACCTAACCTACATATACAAGGATTTTTAAATATGCACACTTGTGTGTGTACATTCAATTTCACGTTTCATTTTTATTTTTACAAAAATAGTTTAAACAGCTGCTTCCTAAAATTAAGCCTAAACCTAGGTGGCGCTATTATCGCTGGCCTTAAACGTTAAAGGAGATGGGGAAGATTTTTCAAGTTTCAACATTGGCCTGTTTAAACCCTTGTATCACAGTATTAAGTTATATCCGCCAACCGCAGTATTCGATAATTGATGATCTGCCTCTCGCAAATTTCGATCGTTCTCACGTAGGTTTTACAATAATGTAAATGAGGATAAAAAAAAGAAAGAGAATAGTTGTCGCAATACCCATTTAATATGTACATATACACTTACAACATTGGTAAATTTTTACTTTACAATACTTTTTTACTTATTTTCTAAAATAAAAAAAACGAAACTATTTTCGGCATACAACACATTCTTCGTTCTAAAACTATTCTTAATTTTAAAAGACTAGTCTGAATTATTGTTCATTGTTTCTGTAGTAAACTTATTAAAATAAAGTGCGTGATTGGAAAATGTACAAATGGTTTCTGATTTACCAATGATAAAACTTTGCAGAGAATAATAAAATATAACAACATAAATAAATAAATCTGTTGTCAAATTCTTTCTAAGCGACCAGTTCGTAGATTTAATTTACCAATTGTCCCTTTAGGGTCTGGTGATAAGGAACTCCAGTCAGTTGAAACACAGTCTCGAAATGTATTCTTTCCACATATTAGTTTATCTTTAAAATTGTCACCACTTAAACAAGATCCTAGTATATCATAAAATACGACGTTTAAGCTATCAATCCACTCTCTTAGATCATGTCCAATTCTTTTGATATTTGAAAATGCAAGATCTTGAAGCAATAAACTATCCTTTTTACTTGGCAATAAATCAATGTCTTTTATTTGAGAATAGTTTTTGTATGAATTACTTGACCCACTATGAATCAAACTAGTTTCTTGATGAGACATTTCTTTACCAGAAAAATATTCTAATGGAGTTACAAGGAATTTTGTCATGGCTATTGGAACATAATTTTGTTCCAACAAAGTCACTTTCCATACACCAGGCAAGAGTGGTGTCTTCACATTAAATTTGATAAAATTTGTTAAATTGTTTTCTTCTTTATATATTGTATTGACTTCGGCAATAATACCTGCCGGATCTAATAATATAACAGTTAAATTCTCTGTTAGTTTTTCAATCAGAGAGAATTGATATACTAAACTTGGTTCAGACAGTGGCCCTAAAATGCTACCAAAATTTCTGAATGTCATTTCTTTTTGATCATAATCTGAACTAACTTTAAATATTTTAACAATATCACTATATTGACTTTTTGAATTGATTTCTAAATAATGTTTTGGTTTATACCAAGTTTCTATAAAAACTTCATGTTCATTCTCAATTAAAGCTTTGTATAAAATTAAGTTACCTTTGTATACGTCTGCATACTTGTACAAATTTATTTCATGAACCTCACCAAGTTCTATAGTACAATCTTCTTGCAGTAAGATCTTGGCATTTTGACGCAGAATGCTGCCAGCATGAGACAATAAGGTATCATCAGTACTAGCAGGCAAATCTTCTATGTCATATATATTTTGCCAATATCCTTCTAGATTGTTAATGTGGTAATGGTCAGTAAGTCCTATTAATTGCTCTACTCTTGTTATAACCTCTTGGTTTATAACAGGTTCAAATTTCCGAGCAAAAAATAATTGACGATTCAGTGTATTTTGAATTCTTGGCCAATCTTCCGTCCTAAAGTCATTCGGTGAACATCCACACCAATCAACAACATGTTTATATTGACATTTACAACCTAATTTCCTTTTCCAGTTCGTAACATGAAGATTATTATCCACATATGTGTTACAAAATATAGAATTTCTTAAAACTGTGTGGAAAAATGACTCTGCTGGTAATAAGGTGTGTTGAAATATAACATGTAAGCCACTCAATAATTCATCGTGTTTTCCAACTACATATGAAACAAATTCAGGTGAGAGGGCTATCCAATCACTGCCTCCATCTATGATGATTCCTTGTGGCAATTTTCTTTCGCCGACACGCCACATGTGAGTTTCACATTCAATAAAAGTTTTATCCAAGCCTTGCTTTTTAATAAATCTTTGTACTTCACGACCATGAGATTTAACAAAATTTAAACCTTTATTAACTGACAGGAATGTTTCCAAATCCTCCAGGGATTTAATGGGAAAATCACTTTCGCTTAAATTAATAACATAATCCCACTGCCAACCTAAGGACATAAAATCTTTCATTGAAGAGAGAAGCATCTTCAATAAAGATGCTCCGCCCCAAATGGTGGCATACCGATTTGGTGCCAACCTTACATTTTGAAATTTTTTCTCTAATGCAGATAACTTACGATGCATGTAATCCTGTCTCTAAAACAAAACATAAATAATTAGATAAAAATATTTGCCCAACTCAACATAGTCTTAGGTGCATCATGTCCATGTGTGTGCATTTGTTTTACCAATGTCACAATTTGTATGTATGATTCAACTTTGATGAAGATCACATTCAATTTGTTTTTATTAGGAAGAAACCCAGTAACTACTACTACTACTTAAGTGATTATTGTTACTTACTTTATCAACATGTATATAAAAATAGTGATGACTTCTATAAAGTACATTTATCAGTCTATGAACTTGTCTCAATGCACGCCCATTTAAGGTCAAAAGGAAAACAATTCGAACTGATTCCTTCACATTACTTGAGAGTTTTGGTGTAATGGGGACAAATTCTAAAAAAATGGAAAAGTAAATTTTATTTACAGGCGAATTTTACAAATTTGCTGTGGGTTATGGAGCCGGCCAAAAAAATTTCCAGTTGGTGCTGCCCTGGCATACCTCTCTTGCCTCTTCCACATTCATACATCTACAATCAATATTAATATAATTTCATTTGTCTATAATCTAGAAAACAAAAGTTAAGTCTACTGTTTTCATGCAATAGATGTTTTTTTTAAATGTATCATACTTGTTAATCCAGTTTCATATATGTTCATTGTAAAATATCCTCCACAAATCTTGGTAGAATTACCAGGACACTTCATATTGCATGATCCTTCCATTGTTTTGGCAGATTCAGGGGGTATAACATCACCACAAAAACATTCTGAACTGAAAAATAAACAAATAACTAAGCTCATAAATTTATTACATCCTTATTCCACTCCATTTGGAATTAAAAATGTACAAGGAACAAAAGTTACAATTTTAAATCTAAATTACTTACGCATATTGTACACCAGCATAAGGAAACCCAGCCTGCATGCATATATCTACACAAAACTCTGGTGAATTTGTTGTGGCATAATTTCCATAAAAACTGGACAATATTCTTAATTTTTTTTCATCTAAATAACATCCATAGTATTTCCCATAAGTCATGCCATTTGAGGGACATTTGTTGGGTAACTTAGTAGGATAAAAATTTCCATTTTGTATTAGACAAGTCTTATTGACAATTTCTTGTTTACAGCTTTGGGTTTTAGCCCGATGTATTGCAGAGACAGCTTCTCTGCTTTTGATGTCACATGCAGGTTTGAAATCTAATTCTTCAATTCTCAAATGCGGAGTTGATTTAGTTTGAGACGACGTTTTAGTATGTATATCTTCATCATCCGAATATCCATTAATAATTTTCCTTGCAGATACATCGCCAAATTCATGGCGCTCTAATGATGTATGACCAAACTTTTTTAATAAATTGTCGTTAACTGTTGGAAATAGGCTGATTGAAATTAAAATTTGAATGAAAAAAGTAGTTAAAACCGTAGCCCCTAACCACTTTGCATACTTATAAAAAAACTTTCGAACATTAAAAGCCATTTCCAACCCTTCTTATTAGTGATTTAACAACAATTATTTCGATACGGCACGTATACATTATTTTGTACTTTTACATAAATTAGAGCAATGAGATAAGAACAAAAAAATAAAACAAAATGTACACATTTTTGAAGAAGCGGGGCAATACTATTACAAACAATTACAACACTGTGTTATACAAAATAGATAACAATAGATATGTAACATTTTGTGACATTGACATTTGAAACATGGCGAGTGATGGCGGCAAAGAATATATATGGATGGCGGGTACCACATCTACAAAGAGTATATAAAATAAGAACTTCAATGCTCACATTATGACATATTTAAATGGAGAATTGGAAAATAATGAAGTTTGAATAACTGTCCATATTTGCACTATTAATTACTGCTTTGTTTTAAGTTCGACGGTTAGTTGGCTTAATGGACTTATTACCTGAACAAAGAACACAACAAAAAAAAATTACGGCATGAGAGGTATTTGACAATGAGATGACAGATAACATGAAAAATGTAATGGACATGTGTTTTTGTGTTTGGATGTATCAGTTTAAACAGTAAGAAATTACCACGAGAACTCGGGTCATAAGTTGCAAATCATTTGCTTGGAAAAGATCAATTCAAAACGTATAAATAATTAAATATGTTTTTTTAACTAAAATTATGGATATCAAGTATGAGGATACTGTTCAGTGCCTTTTCTTCAAGCCTTCACAAGAGAATATTAATTGGGACGAGTTGTGTCACACTTTAAATGCAACGGCTAACGCATTGTCCAAGGAATACATTTGGCATCGAGATGACTTTAAAATTTGTCGACCATTATTAATAACTGAATCTTGTAAGTAAAATATTGTCAATTTAATTATGTTTATATTAAAAAAATAAATGCGAAGATTTCAGTGGCTGAAAGTTTACACTTTAATTGATCATGCTACCATTCTGGTAAATTAATAATTTATAGTAATAAATATGAATTACTAACATTGAATATGTCTCCTAAAGACTCCACAAGTTGGTTCAATATTAATGGTCTGTCAGTCTTTATGCTAGGCAATCTCGATTTAGATCTAATGTTGAATTAGAATTTAACTTGTTATCATTGATTTTGTATTTAAAATGATGCTGTGTAAGTTTTCCATATAGTTGATGTGTTATAAATGTGTAAAATCATTTGATAATTGTATGAATTCCTTATTCCCTCGATTATATAAATAAAAAAATATTAATTTTATTTTGATTGTAGGTATTCCATCACACCTTCTAAGCACAACATGTTTTGGAGACAACATAGAAGATGAATGGTTTATAGCTTACTTAGTATTCAAATTAACAGAAATACACAATGGGTTAATAGTACAGATAGAAGATAATGATGGAGACTTTCTGTTGATAGAAGCAGCAGATTATTTACCTACTTGGGCTAATCCTGAAACAACTCGGAACAGAGTAAGTAATCTTATAATTTGATGAACCAATACCTTCTAAGAGGATTAACAATATCTAACATGAAATCAATATAAACAAAATGAAATGTTTTAAATACTTTTTGTGCATTTCCTCGTCATTGATTACTGTTAAAATATTGTTACAGGTATTCATTTACAATAATCATGTTCACTTAATTCCTCCAACTCTGGCAGAACCTAAAGAACCACTAGAAATAACTGATGCACTAAAACTGATAGTGGATTATCCAGAAGAAACAAAAGCCTCAACACAAATAGAAAATGCTATCCATGAAAAAATTGGAGCTTATCCTGATAGAATAAAAGACTTGTGTCATATGGCAACTGTCAGTCTTCCAGTTGGCATTGCTGCATTACTGATACTGAGACCTAATCTTATATCACATCTTGTTAACATCTATTGTAATCATGATGTTTTTGATGCAAAAAAATGTAAAATACTTAAATTAGATAATTGCGTTGATGTGAGTGTACAATTTACAAAATTTCAATATGCAATGCTCTTACATGCAAAGCCACCAAACAGTTTTGGTCATAGGAATGTCTCGTTACGAAACAAAAAAAATGAAATTGGTTACAAATTATCTTTTGGCTTTCAAGTTATTATGAATCAATCAAAAAGAGACAAGTTTTCATCTTTAGAGTATATTAAATATATAAAAAATTTAGATAAAAATAATTACTTTAATGGTAATATAGAAGGCTCAAAGGATTACAATCTATTGTTAGAAAAAGCAAAGGAATATTTCATAGAAACAGAAAGTCCAGTCATTTCATATATTTATGAAAATATAGCAGAACTTATGTCTTCCAGTGAATATAAAGCGCTTAAAGAATCATTGCCACAAAACAATAATTTATATTTGTTTGAGGAAAAAAGTGACAATTGGTTAAATGTAAATCCTGATGAATTAGATGATTTATTGAATCAAAACTACAAAAAGCAGGTACATTCTGATGACCTTATAAAACCTAGCGTTGTCACATCTGGTTTGTCTAAATTTCTCTCTCAAAGATCGGATTATGAAGGAATTGAAGATAATGAAAATACATGCATAGTAAATGATCACATCCAATTTAATTCTGATGAGTTCTTCTCATCACTTAAACAAATGTTGGATGTTGTAACACTAAATGATAGTGATGAAGACTGTAGTGATTTTAGTGAAACAGAATCTCAAGATGAAAACAATGTTGTCCAGCAACAGCTTGATAAAGAACTTGCATCTAAAATATGTGGAGGTAAACAAACAAACTTAAGAGATGACGCAACCATTTTATCAAATTTAGTTAATAGTATGAAGGAAGAAGGCTTATCAGGACCAACAAGCAATATTTTGAAATCAATAGGAATAAACAAATCGGAAATACTTGATTCTGATGATGATGAAATAGATTAAGTGATATAAATATGTATATTGCAGTTCTAGATCTAATAATTTTTTGCACAGAGAAATACTTTTAGTATAAGCTAGTCCTGATTGTAGCATAAAAAAAATGATACAAAAAAACGGACTCTTGGAAGCGGAGCTTTTATAGTAATCATCATCATCATCGTCAGTGTGGATTCGTCCATTGCTGAACATAGGCCTCCTCCATTGATTGCCACAATAGATATTATTAAATATACAATTTCACTTGTAATGGCAAGCATTTCCTTTATTTTAAAACTATAGGTTCCCAATCTCAAAAATCCTTTCAAATGGCAATATTTAAAATCTTCTTAACCACTTTTTTCATTTATTAATGAAATGATCAAGGAAAAATAAAAACAAAACCTGTAACAGTTTTAAATACATGTACACCCAATATAACATATAACAATATAAATATCAAATTAAGATCATAAATGTTGGTTCATGTTCCTAAACCTTAATTATTACTGTACATAAAGACCACCACAATTTAATATATTCATTAACAAATTAAAATTAGAATATAAAAGTTATAAAAAATTGTCCTTATAGTTAAAGATGTGCATAAGCTCCACCTGCCACAACCAATGTTTCCCCAGTGATATAACTGGCGTCATCGGAAACTAAAAATGCCACAGCACTCGCAATCTCATCAGGTTTCCCAAATCTTTTCATTGGCACTATTGATAAAGACTTGTCTTTGCCTGCTTCAGAAGTTGTTATCTGAAATTCATTTATATAATATGTATAAATTTCTACTGGTATAGGTTAATTTTTTAAATGGTCCTTCGAGCCGGAACACTTACTACATAATCCTAATAGTTTTAAGAAGTACACTAAATAAAATGTACATCTAAAAAACACGGAGTTTAAAATTATTTCTTTATTAGTGAGTAAATATGTATTGTTAGGTACAACTTACAGCTGAAGCAAATTTTGTTGCAACAATTCCTGGCGCCACACAGTTCACTCTTATGTTATCATGCACAATTTCAGATGCAATTGCCTTTGTCAATCCAAGCAGCGTGGTCTTGCTAACACTGTATGCACCTAAAGGCTATGAAATAAAAATAATTTTAATACAACCATACTGAAAATTGTATTCAATATTATAGATTTAAATTTGAACATCATAGCCAGTGTGGCTTAGAATTGCTCTCTTTGGCCTGTTATTTCTTATATTTCTTACATTCTATTTACATTTGTATACAATATTGACTTGTAAACACTCACTTCCATTGGTTGGTAAGCTGCAATAGATGCAACAAATACAATACTTCCTCCGCCTCTTTTTATCAATTCTGGATAAGCTTCTTTGGCTAATAACCAAGCACTTTTAACATTGACATCAAATATCTTATTCCATACTTCTTCTTCTGTCTAGGAACAAATAAAAAACGATAAAAATACTTTCTGCACATGTATTGATGAATGATATCAATATTCACACATTTAGTTTATAAGTATCAACACATTTTACTTAGATTGATTTACATATTACATAGGTATATAATATGTTAATTTTAATACTACTCACTTCTAAAATTGGTGATACAGATGGATTAACAGCAGCATTAGACACAACAATATCAAAACCCCCAAATTTAGATTTTGCCTGCAACATAGATGATAAGACAATTATTTAATATTTTGTCCAATAGCTTTTCTGTACTCTTTATGTTAAGATTTGATTAACTCAGTTGTCCTGAGCTAAGAGAGATATAGCCAGCTAATATCTGCGGGGAAGGGGGAGGGGGCTGATTGAATATATATTTTTTTATTCAAATGTTTATGCTTCTTAACACAAGCTTTCCTTCCTTACCTCCACTGGCAATGCCCTTGCTGAGCTACATAAGGTACTGTAGAAGGAAACTAGCAAGAATATTTACATTTTTTTATCATTTTGAATAAAATAAATTATCATAAGTATTTTGCTACGTACAGTTTCAAATAAGAGTTTTCTGTGTTCTGCATTACTGACGTGGCAAACAATACCTTCAACATTAATACCCTCATTGCGTAAACTCTCCGTTGCTTTCTTTACATTTTCTTCCTTTCGGCTACTTATTATAACAGAAGCTCCTTCATTTCCCAATCGTTTTGCAATTGAAAAACCAATACTAAAATATCAGTAATATTTTACCTACATATAATAAAAATAAATGTGATATTGCAGTTTTGAATGTATAGCAGTATCACCCTTAATCTTACTAACTGCTTGCTGGGTTTCATCTAGTGTTGTGTTGCCAATGCAATGCAATTACGGTGTTTGACAGCTTTTAGGAGAGCAAATTACAAAATCTACTGTAATTATTTGATTTTTTTTAATAAAATTACTTTTAAAGTATTAGGACTGTGAATATGATTCAGAAAATAGCTTTTAAATGAAAATAAGAATAAATAGTCATTGCATTAGTCAATGTGTCATACTGGGAATAATACAATTTATTAAAATGTAATTGCTTAAAAAGTTACGATTTTTATAGAATAAATAAGGACAATTTGCAAAAATTTCAATAAAGATAAAACAGTTAAAAAAGCTCCATTTAGAAAATGTGGAAAAATATGAAGTACTGACCTTTGATCTCTCAAACAAATGCAACTTTTTATACAATGTACATAGATAAAATTTTTCATGCGCAACACTAGTTTCATGTGCCTTTAAAAAATGGCATAAACTCAAACAATGTCACTTACCCTTCAGAAGATGCTGTAACAATAGCTACTTTTCCTTTTAATCTGGCTGAATGAAAATTTGCGCTTGTAAAATGTTGATGTAACGAAGTCATTTTATTAATATTTGTAATAATTCTCTTGTAACTCAACATCACAAAATAACTACCAACAGTTACTTGTTATTATCTAAAAAGAAAATAAACACTTCAACTTTAACTTATTAGTTATATGATATATAGGTAATGCTTTGCTACTGTAAAGTTTTAACATAGTACCACATGATATTAACAACTAATTAAATACCTATTATACCGGTCAATGTCCATTTGTCTTTGATCCACCTTTATCAGTTAATTTTATCACACTCGTTCACGTTGGAAGGATTGTTGATCAAAGAGTATAATAAGTATGTATGTTGTTGATAATCACTTGAAGGCGAACACCTGTCAATGTAAAAAAAAACTGCCATAAGCTAAGGCCGCCTACATTTATATATATATATATTATACTCTTTGGCCGCCTAATTTGGGCCATGGACCAAAGGCCGTAAGCCAGACGATTCTAGTGAGACTCAGATAGAAAATTAAGAATAGAATAGTTTTATACTTGCTTCTAGTTATGGAATTATGGCTTTGCCGATGAATAAAGATATGTGCCACGTTCGCCGCTTTCTTTTAAAACAAGGCAAAGAGTCTATAAAGGTTTTTTTTTGATGATTAGCACTTAAACAGAATATTTTATTCTTTGGTTTACTCTATGATTGAGCTTGAAGTTGTCAAACTGTCAAACCTGATTTTGTCAGATTTTATTGTCTCGATTTCCTTCTATTATACTAATAATTTAATGTGTGGATTCAATGTAAATCATTTTATTTGCAGATTTAAGCAGTTTCTTATTTTGTCCTGCAGCACTCAAAGAGAGTGGTGTAATATTTATATATAAAGTTAACACATATGAAAATTGTGTTGTGTAGCTGCAATATGCATATGTAATCTAATGTCTGGATTATTGTATATTTGTGATTACGGAAATAATTCTGAATCTGACGAGAGTGAAGTAGACAATAAGCTACCAAAGTTAAAAAGGTAAATGTTCTTTTACACATATTGGCTTTCACATTTAGACAAACTTCATCTGTCGTTTTTAATATGTATCACGATTTACGTTAAAGTTGTACGGTAAATTAATAGGTACTTCAGCAACAAATTTATTTGTAAATAATTTAAAAAACTATATTTAGTAATATATAGTGTGCTTGTGCTACTTTTAAAGCAAAAATAATTTGAATCTGTTGTCTGGCTTGATGCAGTAAAATGTCAGGTCTTACAATATTTACTAAAAATCTAAATATAAACATGAAATAAAAATGTTTATTAACTAAAACTTTTTTTCCACTGTGACATAATTTTAACATAGCAGTATTTTTTCTTAATCTTCTACTACTCTACTTGTATATGAACATTTGTTGCAGACCTGAAAAGTTACCTGTGCCAAATCTTAGCCACATTCCAGCAGTCCCAGTTGAACAGTATACAGATAATCCTAATCTTCATAATGGCCGCGTGAGGAGCTTTCCACATGTGAGAGGAAATTGGGCAACCTTTGTTTATATAAAATGTACGTTTCTTTATTATTACATAGATTAAATGTTTTAATATTAATTTATCAGATGTAAACATTTGTTGGTCAAAATAGTTTCATTGTATAAAAATCACATGTAAGTTCACATTATAGCTGCAACGCATGACAAGTATGTGTTGGACGGCAGCAACAACATCTGTTGCATGCACATCTTGGCTCATGCAGTGTAATACCACAACCACACAGAAGAAAGGCATGAAATGGTAGCAATTCCATGTTTCATCTGATGAGTGTGTGTGCTTGAGATCCCCTTTTTCTTCTCACCCTTTTCTATGAGTAAAGGATGGAAATTGAAAGAACAAAACTGTAATTGATAGAGAGAACAAATAGAGGATCTATCTCTGTGTGTTCACACCTCCATCAATTAAAAGTATGTACCTTATAATTTAAGAATAAATTTTTTTTTTAGTTTGATTGATAACTTTTTTAAGGTCAATAGATACAGCCCTTTGGTTGGTGCAAAAACTGGAATTACTATACCTTAGTGTAGCGTTTTGTAAAAATATTATGTTCAGTTTGCATTATAACCAATTTATTATTTTAGATCAAGATGAAGGGTCATTACTGAACTTTGCAACTAAGTTACAAACTTTGTTATTGGAAGTGAAAAACTTGTTGAATCTCTGTGATGATTTTCACCTTAGCTTATCTAAAACAGTGGTTCTGAATTATCATACCATTGTCCCATTTACTCAAAGTTTAAAAGAAGTTCTTTGTGATATTGAGAGGTAATTCTATTTATATGTTTCTGATAATATTATTGAATCATGTATAAACACCACAAAACTATTTTGATGATAATGATATTACTAAGGGGTTAAGCCAAATCCCAAAGCTTGTTTTGTGTTTATGCAACACATATTAGCAAAAGTTAAGTTGAAAAAATTTACATGCAATGGGTTTAGTGTTGTGACCAAAATTCTTTTTTTTTTCAGATTTTATTTAGGTTTTGACAACATTGAGGTTTTGTGTAATGACGAGAAGACTCGGACATTCATTGTTCTTAAAGCTGACTACTTTAGTGTGAAGAGTTTAAATTCTCTTGTCAAGAAAGTAGATGCAGTACTTGGGGAATTTAAATTAGAAAAATTTTATGAAGTAAGGCAAACATCACTTTTTTAATGTAAAATAATTATGATAGTTAAGATGAAATTTTATCCATAACATTTATTCAATCCACTGTGTATTTTAGACCAAAAACTATATTTGCATAATTTTTTTCTCTTAAATAATGTTACATAGAATTATGTCAAATGTTTAATATTTATTGCAGGATCCGTCGTTTCATATAAGTTTACTCTGGATGAAGGGTGACCATAAAGAAAAACTTGAAACTTTGTTGGATAATGCAAATGAAGTGATTAGTGCTGAAGTTGTGAAAAAAATCGAATCAGTTCTCATAGACAAAGTGTATTGCAAAAGTGGCAATAAGTTTTATCAATATTCATTAGAATAATATTGTACTCCAATGGAACGAAATCTTAAAAAAGTTTACATAAACCCTAATTTTAATCAAAGAATTCTTGTAAACGCAATGCAAAACAACATGCTTGTTAATCCTTACTTTTCCCAAGTAGATTTACGAAGTAATTTCGATCAAACATTGAATTCAACGAAAAGACGAATATTTGTCAACCCTAATTTTATACGACCTAATAATTTTGCGAATAATTTTGAACCTGCACCTAGTTTATATTACGAGCCCCCGCTTTTTATTCAAAATGATATTGAGAATTCAACCAATTTTAATGAACAAATTGCGCCCCTTCAAAATATAAAAGAAAATCCAGAGACAAAGTATTCACCTGCTATAACTAAGTCACGATATACATTGGTCCGTAAAAATGATAAATGCACTGCCAACGTTGAAACAATTAAGAGGACCACCACAGTTAAAATAAGCAAGTACAAAACCATGCAATTAAGTTTAATTAAGAATAAAATTATAGAACAGCAACCCAAAAAGCCAGAAATTAAATTACAAACACCATACAGAAATCAGTCATTATCAAAGTACAACTATTTAATAAAAAATACATATCAAAACTCTAGTGTTAATAGAACTTACACAATTAGCAAACAAACACCCATCATAAGAAAGTCCATTGAAGTAAAAACAAGTATAAAAGTTCCTAAAGCTAAGAAAACTTTGTTCAGCCCAAATCTATCAGTCAATAGAAAAACAATTGCAAGAAGATTTAAAAAGAACAACATACCTTGTCCGTTATTTACTAAATATGGAAAATGTTTGAGGAACATTCAGGGAAATTGTGAATTTTTACACGATAAAAAACATGTGTCGATTTGTCGAAAATTTCTTAAAGGTATTTGCCACGATCCAAATTGTCCCTTATCACATGAATTGAGCGCGAAAAAGATGCCGACTTGCTATTTTTATTTAAATGGAAATTGTAATAAAATTAACTGTCCCTATTTGCATGTTAAGTTAAACAATAAAACAAAATTGTGCAATGATTTTTTGAAAGGTTATTGTGAGAATGGTGACAAATGTATCTACAGACATGTGAATAAGGAAGTGAAGTCAGCTATCAAACAAAACATGAACCGGCAGCGTCATTTTACATGTTCAAGTCCAATTGCAGTGCCTAAGAAGGTTAAAGTTAAGCCAGTTCCTAAAAAACCTGCAGAAACAAAGAAATCAGTGTCAGAAACTGAATGCGACCAGGACAAGGAGGATGTCAACTGTAGATACTTTAAGACTGACACACAAGAGGATGAACAAAATCAAACTTGCGATGTGATCAAACCAAGCAGATGTAAACTAGGTGCTTTACCATCTTTTATTAAATTATAATACATTATATTTTTGTACTTTCAATTTTATATTTTCATAAATAAAATATTTCAAGATAATGATGTATTTTTATATTACTGCAGAGACTTTTTGAAGCATTTGATGAAATTATGAAATTGTTTTAAAATATTCAGAGTTATTACATAATTATGTTACTCATTACACGGTTTTTGTTTACAAAATATAAATTAAATCATAACAGTTCTCATTTTATACATTTACTACAACTGCCTAAAAGTGTGTACTATTATACTTTACAAAATAAAGAATTAAGTTTTTTTACAATACAAACATGCCTCTTCCTTAATACAATAGAATATCAACAATATTGCCTAGGTGCCTAGAGGTGGCTCATTTTTTAAACCATTTGGGAACTTTGCTCTGCTTTGTGGAAGAAGACTGCGCACCTGACATTCTTTGGGATTGATTTGGTGTTTCTTCTTTTACTTTTCTGGTAGGTGCTCTACACAAACAAAAATGTTTTAAAATTTAGGTCAAATTCTAAGGCCTAAGTTCCATTGAGTTTGTTTAGATTGGAACAGTAGCAAATTTTCAAGTAATTTTCTCAACTAATAAATTCATACTCACCGATATTTTGACGCCAAAATACTAGCAGCATCACTTGAAGTCTTCTTTAGATATATATCTTCTTTAAGATAAGGCCTTCCACTGTTTTCGTCAGTCCATTTGAAGTGCATTAGAACACAAGGGACAAATTTAGCTTCGAGTAAGGTCATAGAAGGATCTAGGGGTTCTTTTAAAGGAGTGGTAACTGAAATAAAGAAGTTTTCTATATTGATAGATCATATTTTTCTTCATTGTAGAACAGTCATGAACTGAGTATAGTTAACTTTAGTTATAATGCTTTGTTTTAAAAAGTTATGTCATAATTTCTGTCTTAGTTTATTTTAGTACTTACTCAAAAATTACTACTAACCAACAGTGGTTTAGGATTAGTTTTATACTTACAGATAACAAATGGTTTTTCTGGATGATGTAAATGTTCCTTTACAAAATTTTTAACATCTTCTATTTTTGCAGTTGGCGCAAATATACCTTGTAAAATCATATGATCTGGAAACTGTATGCGTACTACAGCATTTTTATAAGAATTCTGTCTTTGTTCTGAGGACTGGAACCAGAATAAAGTAAATGTGAAATATTAAGTATTTATATTTTTGAATAACATCATAAAGTATTCTAAAAACCAGACTGGCATTACATCATCTTAGTAAAGCATTTAAAAATAGTGCCATGGAGAAACAATAGAAACATTAAATAACCTGTCTTTCGATTTCTCCTTTTTGTGTGGATGTCAACAAGGGCATGTTCTCAAGTTGCAGTCTTTGTTGTTGCAAGTCATGGTATATCTTGCGTACTTCTTCTATTGTTAGATCATAAAAATCGTCCGGCAAGTCTTGTAGCTCATCCTCCATATCATCTGGCGGCAAGAAAGCTATCGCCTTTTGGGCACCTAGCTAAAATCCGGAAATTTCAATATTAATTTTTATTTATATTAATTTTCTGTGTAACAGAGATATTATTTTACCAATTTTAATTATTTATTCCAAATGGGCAATGCCAAAATTTGGATGAAATTTTCTGATCACTATTGTGAAATAAGAGAGTATGAACATGACTCACAAACACAACTTCCTCTTCTATTTTTAAACGACGCTCTAAATTTTCTTGTGAGAACTGACTTTCTAATGGCTTCTCATTAATATGTGCTGTAGATGTTGCAGTTACATTTATATCTTCTGAGTCTATTTCCATTTTTTGGACAGTACTAATGTCCTCAATTTTGTCACTAACATTTAGTTTTTGCGGGATGGCTTCATTTTTGTGTTGTTCTTGTTTTATAGCTTGAACAGGATCAAAGGCATTCGTTTTGTTTTTCTTTTGAATACCAGATGGTCCTGGAAATGATGGTTCTTTGTTGTGAAGTAGTTCTTGCTTATTTATGGATGATGTTGTGTTTCTTTGTGGCTCTACTTGCTCCTCAGTTTGAGGCCGTCGATAAACTCTTGAAACATTTGCCTGCCTAGAGTTATTTTTAATAATAAATTACATTTATAGAAAAATCAGAAATTTAAGCAGATATAAATTATTTAATAGTTAAAATAATCACTTACATTGCTTCTGTTTTGTTAAGCAACCTCAAAATTGCTCGGCCAGTGATAAGCCCTAAGTGTCGTAAAGTTTTCTCTTTTAGTGCATCTACGCCTGTCACTTCTTGTCTCATGTATAATATTGATGGAAGTTCTAAAGACTCCAATTTTTCAGGTGCAAGTGTTAAAGCCATGTCATACAGTGTTGTGCTTGGAGAGAAATCACCCATTTTTCTTTCTCCTGCAATTTAATGTGACCTTCCCTTTTGTTAAAAATTATATAATAGTAAAAAAGCTACTAAATGTTAAAATCAGTGTTAATAATTGAAGAGTTTTCTTAGTTTTATATAGTATTTATTAAAATTATTTGGTGCACAATTAAGTGTAAAATACACATAACAACTTGATCTTTATCTTTGCATCTTATTCTTTGTTTGGTTTCAAAGAATGAAAGTGGAATAGAAAGAAACAACTTTATTAATCCAAAGTCTATGGGAACAACTATCGAAAATCGAAAAAAATCGTTTTACTCAACCCATTCCAGACAGACAAAGCACAAATTTAAGAAAACTAAAGATTTGAGATTAAAAAAGGAAACTAAAATAGTGCTTAAAATTAAAATATGAAAAGAACACAATAGGAATGTAAAATCCTTGTTTTAAATGCAAAAAGTGAAGTCTTAATATTTACCATCATCCAACATAAGCCCAATTGTAACATCAGTTTCTACTCTTTTCCTTTCAGTCTCTACTAGTTCAAGCATAGCTTTATTCGGTAAGTTACAAAACCGTATGGTTGTTGTTAGATCAAGAATTGTTTTATGATGTTTTAGATCATAATCAGTAGGTTGAAAGCCTTGCTTGGCGCAAACATCTTCTAAAACCTAGTTTATTACAATAAAATACAATTTGTTAATAACATTTTTGTGTAAATATTAAATTATAAACAATACTCAGATAGCAAAGCTAAGTAATGCAATGACTAGCAAAAATTTTACAACAAACAAACCTGTAAAATACTCGTGTCTGCGGTGCAGTGGACTTTTACCCTTCGTCCATTGGGGGCGAGAACGACCAAGTCTCTTGACATTTTTTTGCTATTCTTAGTGTTAAACAAAATTCATGAAATATATATCCAAATTGGAAATTCAACTGAAAATGATAAACCAAATCCGGCCGGCTTTTACAATTTGTAAGCTGGTCTGACACTGACAAAACAAATTGACAAAGAACTGTCATTGTAGAATTCAGGTGACAATGACAGCGCCAGAACGACAGGCGCAGAATTTTTAACAAGAACAGAAATCTTACAATCTTTTTTTTTAGTTTTATAAGCATTGCCATAATAAGTTTGTTTTATCTTCTTTTTCGCATACTTCATTACTTTTGGTCATCCTCATTTTGATATGCATTTACAGATGCGTCGACCAGCTGCCTCCACACCGTCCTGTCCTGTCTTCGGCTTGTCTCAGGGCACTCGTGATATTGAGCCTCAGCTTGCACTTGATCGGAACTCGTTTGTTTTATAGTGTAGTTAAAAGGCATGTTTTATTTTAGCATCGGATTTCTTTAACTTTGGTAGGTCTTTTTCTTCATCTTTATTTAAAACTAGCTGTGGCCCGCGACTCCGTTTGTACGGGATTAAAAAATAAACAGTAGCCGATTCTCAGATTTACTGAATATGCATATAAAACTTCATAAAAATCAGTCAAGCCGTTTCGGAGGAGTATGGTAACGAACATTGTGACACAATCCTATTTTATATAATATGTACTTCAGCTAGTATATATTTCCTCAAAATATTTATAGACCGACAAATTTATCTGACGCCGCCGGGGCGTAAGTCGAGCTAAATAATAACAGTGCACTAGCGCTTAATCCCTGTCGATCACAAAAGCGCCACAAAGCGTTTTCGTAATGTTAATTTTTTTTATACTTGGACATGGACTCTTAGATGCCGTATAAAGGTCACTGCATGGACTACTCCTTTTTCATAACTGTATAGCCAAATTCAGATGTCTCTCTCTGTGACCGAGGCGCTGCTATTGCGATTATTTTTGTGCCATAATATACAAAACATTCTTCAGCTTACAAAATGCCATTATAAAATGCTTACGGAACCAAATAATTTTGTCGGTCTATAATTATGAGTTTTCTGATTTTCCCTTACTATAGGCACATTATAGGCAGGCGTAAACGTAGGTGTAGGCATAGTCCAGAATATTGAACTAAAACACTGAAAAAAAAAATTAGAATTTCATATAATTGAATATTTTATAAGTAAAACACATGAAGTATTGTCCAAAAAATATATTTATTGTAGTAGACAACTCGGGGACGCGCGCCCCGCGCCCAGCCCGCGCCGCGCGCGCGTCCCGCAACAACGCTTCGCTATCTACGTCCTTCTCTCTGTTTTAATAATTGGAATAATTTATTTAATAATTACAATTTTCTTTTATCTGTTTTATTTAACTTAATTATAAACTAACTTTGTTTTGTATAACTTGGTGTAAGAGAACAGCCTTAGGAATTGAAATGGGGTGGTGCAAAATACACCTCACAGCACAGTTTCCATTTCCACTCGCGTCCGCTCTCTAAAATTAATAAAAAAAACATCAGCATAACTTAAAAAATACTTCAAGTATTCAATGTAAATCATACGACATATAGATGAATGTTACTAGTCTTACTAATGTTTAAAATGGGAATATTGAGATGTATGGTATCTTCGGAATGGTTTAATGGATCTTGCTGAAATTTGGCATAGATGTAAAACATAGCCTGGAAGAAAACATAGGCTACTTAATAAGCTTTTTTATTTTACAATTCCGCGCGTTTGGAGTCACGGGCGACCACAGTGTAACATAAAAATGCCAAATATTTGTGAAACAGATTTAAAGAAAATTGTTAAAATGGCAAAATGTAGGGGTAGTATTGTAGAAGTATAGTGGGGACCTGGAGCGCAGATCGCCGCAAGAGAGTGGACGGTCGAGTTCGGGCAGTAGGTCTGCGGGCGCGCGCAAGGTGCGCGGCCTTGTGGTGTCGTG